TGGAGCTCGAGAACAGCAAGCCCGAGAAAGCCAGGCAGGCTTTGGACCCGGCCTCAGGTGTACCGACCAAATATTCACACTGCGCCAGGCTCCGGAACACAGGCACTCCTATCGACGCCCGACACTAGCTGTATTTCTCGACGTGAAGGCGGCATTCGACTCTGTTGATCGAGAAGTCTTATGGCAATGTCTCTCACTGAAAGGCGTGCCGAGTACGTACACCACCTTATTGAAGGATCTCTACTCGAACACTTGTGGGCGTGTTAGAGTCTATGGTGGGATATCCGGGGAGCTGTACTCGTCGAGTGGTGTCCGTCAAGTGTGCCCACTGTCTCCATTCTTATTCAATTTTATCATAGATATTCTTATTAAGGTCTCCCTTTCGCCACCTGACTACGCAAAGGTTGATCTAACCACGGAAAATTTTCGTTAGACCTGGAACACGCAGATGACATAGTCCTTTTAGGTGATGCTGACAAGATGCAGAATCTTCTGAACACTTTGAGCTGCAATTTGAGAATGTTTGGGATGCGTTTCTCACCACCCAACTGCAAATTGTTGCTCCAGGATTGGTCTTCAACAGTCCCTTGGCTAACAATAGAGTGTAGTGGTTGAGTGTGTTGACCACTTCACTTACCTGGGAAGTAGGATCAGTCCTGGTGGCTTAGTGACCGATGAAATCTCTGCACGGATACAAAAGACTCGGTTGGCTTTCGTCACATGTAGCGCCGCCGTGATATCGATTGTATATTAAGAGTCGAGTATGCTTCACAGCAGTCCGGTCTGTTCTACTGTATGGCTGTGAAACATGGCCATTGAAGGTGGAAGACATGAGAAGGTTTGAGGTGTTTGACCACCGTTGCCTTCGAAGTATGGGCCATATTCCTCCATATCACCAAGTGAGTGATGCAGAAATTAGGTGAAGAGTTATAGGGAGAAGAGGTAAGTTGGTTGACGAGGTCATGAGCCTTCGTCGACTGAGATGGTTAGGACACATGTTACGCATGCCTAATTGCCGCCTGCCTCGTCACACAATGTTGGCCAAAGTAGGTTCAGGGTAGAAAAAGGCCCGAGGTGGCCAGACTAAAACATAGAACCAATGTATGAAGCCTTTGACTGTTGGTTTGAGTCATGTAGGGGCGATGTAGACTAGCCGGCTGGGGTTCGCGGGACAAGAGGAACCAGTGGTTAGGGGCTCTAGGTGATATGGCTCGGGACCGATGTCAGTGGCGCGGATGTATACACCCATTATCCTCATCTTAACGACGCTGCACCCAATCTCACCATTTTCTCATTCTTCCTTTCTCTCTTTTAGTACTTTATATTTCTTCTGACTGAACTTTCTTGTCTTCATCTTGTACTTCACTGCCTTTTTACTTGGTGTACTGATATGAGGTGTGGCAACTCGGACCGTTAGGCAGTAATGCCTGGTCCTATATTGATTTGGATGTATAGATGACTAATGGACGTGACAGTATTTACTTCTGACTTCACAGGGATTGTCCTGCTTCCTGGAGGTTTTATGGTTGACTCAGAATGCACAGTCGATATTATTCTGCTAGGTGACGTTTACAAAATCTAGGGTTTTGTAAACGCGTTGAGCGGAAATCCGAGTTTGACGCTTTTCCTGCCTGTCCAGTGTAAGGTGATGGATGCTGTAGGAATGGTCTGCAACTATTCCTTGTTCAAAGAATAGGGAATGAAGTGGATGAATGGGTTGATTACTTAACCTAGTTGAGAAGTTGCTTCAGCCCGATCGGGTTGGGGCTGACGAAATCTCAGATCGGAAACGGAAAGCCATTTTGGCATTTATCGAACTACGTTATTGCTGGCGCCAAGTAGCGATATATCTGAATACCTATCAAAGGACGAGTATGCTACACTGCAGTTCGTTCTTTCCTGTACAGCTGGTATGGCTGTTAGAAGTAGAAGACACTTAGCGATTACGGGTTTCGATTATGGATGTCTTCGTGTCATTGGTCGCGTTTGGTGGAATCACTGCCGTATGAGCGATGTTGAGGTCAAGCAAAGGACAATAAGCAAGAAAAGCAAGTCGATTGATTGGGTTGTCAGCCTTCATCGACTGAGATGGCTTGGACACGTACTGCACATACCGAGCCACTGCCTACCTCGACGTGCCATGTTAGGGGGAGTTGGACTAGTTTGGAAGGGGGCTCAAGGTGGACAGACAAAGACCTAGGACCAGTCGATGAAGTGTCGTACTGTTAGTCAGCCGTGTGATATGTAGACTTCGTGGTTCGCTTTTCTGAGACGAAAAAAATGAGTTGCTGAGGGGTATTGGTGACATAACTGAAAATCGGTCACCATGGTGCAGATGTATTCACTCCTTGACATCTTATAAAGCCTGAATAATTGCACTAACCTTTATCTTCAGATTGTTTATCTTCTCACTCTACTTTATCTTTTTTGATATTACGCTTTTTCTATCCACCGTTTCTTTTGTACTACTCTGAAGTATAGCAAGTCAATGCGCTGGTGTGCCAGGTTCTGCGTTGATTTTTTCATTCAATGTCAGTCCTCTCTAACTGAACGTGGGTCTAGTTATGGTTTCAGAATTATGAACAGTGGATGTGCTGTGTTTAGTTTTCGGTGTACTTATTTGAAGTCATCTCTGCGACCACACCTAATCAATATGAAGAGTTTGTACACATACTTTTCAGATATTTCGAGATTCGATGCTTAAATTATCACATCTCACAAAACGAAAAACAAAGTGGAAGAGAAAAAAGTGCAAATGAAATAAATCAAACATTAAAAAAGAAGAAATGGGATTAAAGTGTAAATCAGAATTTGCTATAACGGCTAATATGATGATAAGACAAATGCAGAAATGCTATCGCGATCGACTCTGAGCTATATCGTTTTGAGTCGCCACACATCAGCTTAGGTTTTCACGCCAACTCTTATCTGAAAGTCCACACTCCCATACATCGTCCAAACCAACAGTTAAAAGCTCAGTAGACCGATGCTGCGTTCTAATCTGACGCCACTTGTAATCGTTCCGACCTTGCACTGCTTCAGCTATTGTAGTGTAGATGGTGACCACATTTGTGTGACACATTTGTCAGCCATCTCAGCTGATGGTTTATTACACCAAGAACCGAATTGCCTCTCTGACCTATGACTGTTCTGAACTTCTATGTTCCTGACGTGGTGGTTGTATGACATGCGGCTGGTGTTTTGAAGTTAACAGTGTTGGGACATTTGGAGCCTTGTAATGTCCTCCTTTTTTAATGGCCATGTTAGACAGGGAAAGTGAAATGAAGCGAACTAGTTTGGATTACCGTCGAACCCCAATGGACAGTCATATGATGGTGGTGGCTCCATAAGTGGTGTAAGGTGGTGGAAACCAATGGATCATTTTGTGGAATTGCCGAGATCTCGCCAACTACCCAGCAATCAGGACGGAGCGACTGACCGATCTGTCAAGTTAGTGAGGTGGTTACCATGGTCAATCACTTCAATGTCCTATTGTCAGATGAGTTACCAAAACAGACTAGTTGTGAGCCAACAATTAGCATTGAGGAGGTGAGGAATAGAGTTAAAGCATTCCAAAGTTTGTAGCTAACATATTCACAATGTTCTGCATTTTGTCATCATCTCCACCCAACATAACTGATATGGACATGTGTATGGTGAAAATAGATAAGAATGGAGAGTGGATATTGTTGATGAGCACCACTGGATGTAGAGAATTCACCTGATGGCTCACCGCAGACTGTAACATGAACATGTGATTTGAAGTATGAGTTTTTCAATGAGGTGATGAATCTGGTGAAGAGGTCTTTCAGTGGTAGATACTAACACAAGACTTCTGAGTTGATGGAGTTGAATGTCGCTTTCAGGTGAAGAGATACAACTAGTCTCAGGGACTGATAAGTATGCCTTTTTTTGGGTCGGGGGGTGGGGTGGGGTGGGAGTGGGGGGTTTGATATAGTCAGTAGTGAAGATTTTTAGGATCTATCGAGAAATAGGTTTGAGAATTGTTTGAGGTTGGAATACTCTCTCGCTTAAGGTAAAATTAGTTTCATGACTGCTATACATTGATTCACCAAAGTGAAGTGGTTTAGCATGTTTGCTTATTTCACTTACCTGAGTAGTTGCTTCAGATTAGGTTGATGGTTGACAAAATTCCAGCACGAATACGAAAGGCTCATTTGGTATTTTTTTAACCTAAAGCTGTTATAGTAACATAAATTGATATGGTTAGATACGTGTCTGCCCTGACAACTGCAAAAGATGTTACTTTAACATTCAGATGATTCTGACTTCCTTGATTTTTCACTATTTGAGTATCGTTGCACCGTTTACGCTTTGCCCATACCTGAGTTATCAATTCAACTAAATCCCAAGATATTTGCAACTGTTTGTCTATCAGTTTGCAAATTTTGTGCAGAAGATTGGAGTTGGACGGGTTTTTATCAGTTCTTTGAATAATTGAAATATAAGAATTTTGAAAACAGGTGGTTCAACAATGAAAGTTTTGGCGATCTCATTCACTACTCTGAACAGTCGCATTTATATACAGTTTTTAGTGAGAATATACGATTTGTTTTATGTGTTAGACCAGTTAGTTAAGTATAGCAACAAGGAAGGTGATGCCAAAAGTATTGACTGCTGGTTTAACGAGCTTTCATCAAATCGGACAACTAATCTTGTTTTAATAAAGACTACGTGGAACTGTGGTTTACTTTTCTGGGCAGTTTACTTTCAACCTGTGGTTCGGGGCTTCGAACACCAATCCACGTACCAAAGTTTGTACAGTTAGGTAATATTATAAACCGGTATAGAACATATTTGACTCTGCTTAGTGCATGAATATGCATATACCTACTGAGTGAGAGTTTTGAAATTTAACAAATGAATATCAGGTTCGTCGATATTTTGTTGTTAAGTTTATTTGACATTTTGTGCTGCTTGTTTCTGATGCATTATCATAGAGAGTTGTCGGCTAATCACAATTTTATATATGCTTTTAGATTCGACTGAATGCTTATTTATGGATGGGGAAAGTGTGCGCAGTGGACGAAGTGAAAAAAGTGACCGTTCTCGTCGATCGAAACGCATTCAGAAGACAAATAATGTTACACCGAACCAGTCTATGTGCATGTTTCAGGGACAGTTAAAGGGTGTACCTGCTTCTCCACAAAAACAACCCTTGATTTGCGACCCGAATATGCAACCTATCGACTCATCTATTCGCCCATCTCAAAATACTCTGATGCCAGTTGTGCAGCAACCTCATATGAACATGTTTCCTCAGCAAACATTAGGTCTGCAGCATCCCAACCCCCATCCATACACATTAGAAACATGGATGCCCCCTTTAATGCCGATGAATCCCAATTTTTCCGCTTGTTCTCAATCAAATATGTATATTTCCAACGCTCAAAGTTGGGCAGGTCAAGCCCCACCTCAGGCATATGCTCAGCAAATGATTCCTCAGTCAATACCTACCCCTTTCACTCGACCTCCAATTTGTGGAGGAGTACAGTCAAATCAAATCCAGCCGCAACAGCAACAGAGCGGTCACTTTATTTCCACTGGACAACAACATCCCTTAGCACATAATACTGCATCTCATATTCCACCTTCTCAGATACCTTCTCAACCATCATCACAAATTCATGAACCATACCGAAGTGAGCGTTTTGATTCCCAACTTGCTCATCAAGATGAAAATGCCTGGGTTGAGGAAGCTACTGCTGTTACAGGAGCCACGAGCGAAACTGGATTGAGCGGTGACAACTTCTCTCGGTTTGGAGCAAGGTATGGTCTTGCAACTTCACTAGGTATTAATGCTAATGGTGGTTCAGGCTGTAATATTAGTGGGGCTGCAGCTGCTCTCATACGTTCTGAAGCAGACGAAATAAAGGTTTTCAAGTGTTCAAATACATTTAGTTTTGCTATCTCTACTTTCCTTGGAATTGGTTCATTACTCTCTCCCATCCTAATGCTTTTAATTCCACTTTTACCGTTTTGGATCGAATGGTCAACTAATGCATGTCAGCCAACTTGTGAAGGGCATCTCATTAGTATATCTGTGAAACTTGTACTTCTTTCGATTGCGCTATGGTTTTTAAGCTCTCCTTGCCAACCATTTTGTGGTAGTAGGACCTCCATACTTCCTCGTATTCGTCTTTGCCGTACCCTCTTCTTATGTCTCGTACTGGTCATCCTTTTTGCTTTCTGGTTGTTTTATACTGTACGAGTTATACAACCGAAGGAACCTGATTATCTTTCCATCGTGGTTTTCGCTGGCAGTTTGACGGACACATTACTGTTTTTGCATTATGCTGCTATTGCTCTGATGGAATTACGGAAAATCCGATTCCACTATGTAATACATATCGTACGTTCTCCAGATGGAATGTCACGGACCCTAAAATGTGGAGAAATGTCGTTACAACGGGCGGCAGTGGAAGTTCTGCAGTTTTATATGTGGAATTCACGGTATGTGCTTATTTGTTGTATCGTTATTCATATAAATTTGTTTTGGTCTGTCTTCTACACTTATTTTGTGGTATTAAGTCTATAATCTGTGTTAGTCATCAGCTTTTCTCTCAATATTCTATGAACAGTAGATACATGAATATGCAAACAAAGTATCTTTTTATGTTTATACTCATTAAACTATGGTTATGAATATTCAACATTTCTGGTTAATACATGACAATAAGCAGAATAACAGCAATAAATTCTAGAGACGGCAGAAATGTGAATTTACTTCAGTCAATATTTTGATAAAGAGCAAGGCCTTTTTCTGAATTAAATGTGATTCAAGGAGATGCAAGTGTTAAAATGAAGCAGGTGTAATAATTGACTTATATTTGAGAAAAGAAGTAATAGTAATAGACGAATACAATTACATTACTGAAAAATTTGTTTCATGCAGTTATAAAAGTTTATTATAAAAGAGAGATAATAGAACCGTTGTCACTTGGAAGAATGCTTGTGCATGACTTAGAAGAGCGATTAGTACTCATGAGAGAAAAATAATCCACTAACTGGTTTTACTCGATTTGTAACTATCTTCAAAACCCAAACTAAGTTATGATCAAAAGACTGAAGAATTAACTGTAATTTATTTCAAGAATAGTATCATTTGGTCAAATTAAACTTTTTTTAAATATAGTGGATAAAAATCGAAGTAAGACGAATAAAAATTATGCGGATAAAAACATATGACTGATTAAAAAAGAATAAGAGCCAAGGTCAAGAAAATAGTCAATGCCTACTATTATATGTAAATTGTCCTTTCTATCTACCATATCAAGCAGCCTAACCAGGCAATGCTGGCTGATAAGTGATTATTCTATATTTTCGCATTTAAAAATTCATCTTATTTTCCTGTAGTTATGTGATATGTAAAAGTATTGATTGATATCGCTATTCACCTCCTTAAAGATAGTTAAAATGTTTAGCCCTTGCATGATCCATTGGGCTACTTTGTGCTTTAAAACCCAAGGTAGTAAGTTGTTAGTAAACAAGTGGTTTTGCATCTCTTGCTTTCTGAGTTTCAGTGACTTTATGATAACCATTAGCCTAAATCCCACTGCGACCCTGGCTTTTTTTCAACTTTAATCATCGTCTCTGTACATAGAAATCAGTCGAATAACCAAGGATATCATCTTTGATGATATAAGTTTTTCTTTATTCCACCTAATTTTTATGGGCTTAAGTCGTGGAGTTCATTTGCGATGGTTTGTGTTTTACATTTCGGTCAAGTCAATCGGAATTTGAATGGTAGTCATTCTTTATCTGATATTCTTAATAGTACATATAGTTGTTTTGTGTAGACTGATGGATAACTTTTCGGGTCGGTATTGTAACTAAAGTGATTCACAATGAAAAGCTCAGTGATGCCTTTGAAATGAAGACAGGAGTAATACAAGAATGCCTACTATCACCTGTGATCTTCCTGATTGTGGTGGACTGGATTATGCAACAAACTGAGAGGCGAGAAGAGGAGCATACTCTGCTTGACCGATGAAAAGACCGTAGAACATTTGGATTTCGCTGATGATTTATGTCTCATGTCTTGTCGCACAAACTCGAAGATCTACAGGCAAAAACCAACAAATTGACAGAGGAGGTAACGAAGACGCGACTTCAAGTGAACGTAGTGAGTGCAGAGGTGATGAAGATGCCCAACCAACAACAGTATGAACAAAAAGCACCAGTCACCATGAACGGGAGAAACCTAAACGAAGTAGTCTCTTTCACCCACATACCTATCTAGGGAGCATCGTTTCAACTACAGGCGGCGGCGGCGGCGCAGATGATGCCAAAGCCAGGATCGGAAAAACAGCAAGACAGGCCTTCATTAGTCTGAAATCAGTATGGAGATCTACTGCACTGCACTGCACTCAGCACAAAGCTTGAACAAGATCCGGATTTTCAACGCTAATCCAGTCAAGTAAGTCAGTGCTTTTATGTGATGGTTGAGAGACTTGGCGCGTCACTAAAAGCATCTCCGACAAACTGCAGACATTCATCAACAGCCGCCACCCACGCTCACTCGATACTGAAGATCAGATCAGATGGCCAGAATAATAGGAATAAGGAAGGAGGAACTCTGGCTGGCCACGTAAGGAACCAACAAAGAACCCGTCGCCCAACAAATATGCAGAAGAAAGTGGAGACGGATTGGGCATACACTGAGAAGACCGATTGGAGACATTGCGCGCCAGGTCGTCGAGTGGAACCCGCATGGGAAACGACGAGTTCGGCGTTCGAGGCGAGGGTGACAGACAAGATGTTGTGAGAAAGAAATGAAAGCTTCTGGGCAGTGGTGGAGCCAGGTTGCAAATACTGCAGAGAAGAGAGTGAAATGGAGACGTGCAACTGAAGCCCTATGTTCCACTAGGAACCTAAGGGACAAATAATAATAAAGTCTAACTGAAATGATTATTTGAGTCATTGTTGCTTTCATCACATTTGTTATAAACTAATTGTGTGTCACGTGGTCACAGATGTGCCAACTAAACAATTAAGAATATATGATGAATGACTATGATTTTATTGCAAAATTACAAGAAAAAAATTCGGGAAACTAACTGTTTGACATATTTATCAAGTTAGAGTGTTCGAATGATTTGGCCGAAGTCGCCCATTAGGGCAGGGGATAAAATAAGATGTTACTTCAGTCAGTTATTTGTGAGCTCATGAAATAGAGTCAGTGGCACAGACTATCTAAAGACTCTAGTTTACTTCTAAGAATGATTTAGATACTCATTCAGCGTTGTGTGTGTGTGTGTGTGTGTTCCTAATGCAGTACGTGAACCGGCACAGCTGTAAGAAGATTTATGATTTCTTCGCTAATGCCAGTTCATAATAAACTAGCTTATAATTTTATAGGCAGGTAGACAGTGGTAGGTTCTCGTCTATCATAGTTGCCAAACAGTGGATGAATTCAAAAGATATTTAATATAGAGGAGTTTTGTTGAGTTTCCTACCAATGGTGTACAATTTTTTTCTTATGGGTGTACACGTTAAATATTTGACCCTTTAAACGTATTCCAGGTGGTGCTACCCACGCTACACTAGTTCTAGATATAACTGAGCATATTATAAATTTTATGATATGAAGCCTTCATCTAAATATAATATGTTTACTAACTTAAATTGGCAGGCTTACAATCCAAACCAAAACCCGTCCGTCAGCAGTGGCGGTGGAGGTAAACGTAATCGTCGTGGTGGTTCTGCTTCTACGGGTAACGGTGGAGGTTCCAAGTATAAATTTTACGATGTCGATAGTGGCGGTGCTGGTCTAGCGAAATCAGAGAATGGTGTTACGTACACAGTCGAACAATCTGCTGGTGCCATCACTGCTCCTAGCGCTTCGGTTCGTTTGTACGAAGAAATTGAATTGGAAAAACGCATACGTAAACGGCGTATGAGACTTCTTTTAGCAGTTGAGGAAGCTTTCACCCACGTCAAACGTCTTGCTGCAGAAAACTGCAATAACGGAAACAGTGTTGGCATTGTTGAATGTGACCAAACTTTGGTGCCTTTCAGAAATTCCCGAAGTAGGTATTACCACCGATGTTATTTTATTACACACTTAACCAGTTATTAAAAATTTAATTCTTAACTTTAAGTTCAATTCTCTTCATTCTGTTATTTATTCTGATATGTTTTTTGTTGAATATGCTCAATAGAAAGGGGACAAGTTAGGGTCTTGTCTGTTAATTCTTAGTAATGAAACAAACGTTTCTATTTCATCAATTTTAGTTCGTTTATTAGATGAATCACTCATTGAAACAGTATTACCTACTAGATAATGTTTCGCACACAATTTATTGTTCATATTCATATCAAAGTGACAATAAATTGTGTGCGAAACGTCATTTATTAAGTAATACTTTTTTGTGCAATGCATCCAATAAACAAATTAAAATGGAATTACAACCTACAACAGTACCGAAGTTTTACTGCTATATATTTTTTCCCATTATTTTGTAAGGGTGTGGAAAAACAGATGTCTACACATCAGGTCTTGATAAGAATTTACTTCCCTGTCTCATGTATAGGCAGTAGGAAGATATGATTATGGTGATGAATATAACGAGTCTTGAACGTGTTTTTAAGATACCGTATGCGCTGTTACTGAATGGTTGTTTGTATGCAAAAGAAGTTTAGGGCTGTCTGCTGATTGTATTTTGTCAGCCAACATCAATTTAAAGCTGTGCTTGATTGCTTTAGGCATTCGATCTTCAAGTAGTAGCTTGCGAGTCTAAATTCTGTTTCACGTGCTGAAGTTTGGGCGACGTGGTAAGTGACACACAAAAGGTGTAGGTCATGAATATGTTCGGCGTTGCTGGGTTACAACTATGCATCCATCTGAAAATGAATATAATTTGTACTGTACAGGAGCTGCACTGTTTATGCAGTAACCTCGAATAGATTTTCTACCATAATACAATGTTATATTTTGTCTTACAAAATGTGAGATAGTCCATTTAAACATTCATCCTAGCGAACCTTATGTTCACTAACATTGTAATAATATTTTCGCGAAGATGGATATAAAGAGCTATGCGGAAGCTCAAGGTCTGTATATTATTAATTTTAGTGCAGTTAGTTTTCTTCTTCGATTCTTACGGAGCCTGATTAGTCGAACTTTTCATCAACAGTGCTGTCTGTTTCGTCTATCCTTAATACTATTCGTAACCTGCAATTTGGAACCTGTGACTTGAGTTAACCGGTTCAGAAATCTCAAAACATTCCTCTTCAACGCACATGATAAACTGTGGGTTAGATTATGCTCAAAGCTGGAAAAATGCTACTTACAACTGTTGATATATATCGTCGTTAGAACACATACATTATTATCTATGTGATCATTTACCATAATTCATATGATTTCTTTGTTCACTTCTTTGAGCTGAATCGGGCACCGTCTGTGCAATAGAGTTCATGCTTTGATGCCAGGTTTTGATCTGGCCACTTTTAGCCAATCCTACTTTGGCTAACATTATTATTGAGGTAGACGGTGGCTTGGCATATGCAACACATGCTCAAGCTACGTTAGTTTTTGGAGGTTCACAGAAATGCACTGTGATCTGAACACGATTGAAGGGTAGTATATCCATTCATGTATGAAACTTAGGTTAAAGAAAAGCAACATAAAAAGTAAAAGAGCAGTATGGTATGCAAATACCTGAGCTATAGTTCACTAGTTTAATCGTTTATCTCTCTATCATTCACCTTAGTCAAATACGTAGAATCAATAGCCTTCAACTCAACGGACGTAGCCGACAACCTAATGCAAGAACCGTATTTAGCTTCAGATTTAAATAAAGCGATCATTTTTTAGTTGGATAGTTAAGAGCAGTCTACATGAAATCCTTAAATCAAGTTTATTATCTCCTAATACATCAGAGTATTGTATCTGCGAATTCGGGAGAAATCAAATTACATTGCAAGAGTTGATCATTAGAAGTCTATTAGAAATGAGGATTTAACGACGAAACCTAGTGACAATGTACAGTACTGTTACTTCCACACCACAATATTAAATTAACGTCAAGCGAATTACTTATCTATTCCGAAGGTTCATGAAGGTTGACTGATTTCAAGAGGATATTCGTCACAAACTTACATCATTGATTCTCAAACTGTTCTCACTTCATGATGAATGCCAACTTGAATTATTTATTACCAATTAGTTCAATAAAATAATCAAAAACATTTGTTTGTGCATTTATTATAATATGTAAGCTGTTAAAAATAGAAAGTAATGTAGATTATAATTGTAAAATCTATGTGTTACATAGTAATAGAAATTGCATGCAACAGCTCACTAGCCTCCTGTAATTTATTTCCTGATGTTTAATTACTCTTTTTGGGATAGCTTTATAAGTTCTTTTTTACTTTTTGTATATATAGCATGATTAGCTACTAGATAACAGTACTTTGTATAAATTTTACCTTCAGCTTCAACATTCACATTCGAGAATGAATAAAATTTCTGGGTAAATTTATTATATTGTCAAATAGTTTATTAGTTTGAAATGATACTCCTTGAAAATAATCACTTTTTAACTGTCTCTGGCTTAAGGTAGCTGGATGTGGATTAACTTCAATTCATCTGTTTATTGTAAAACATGGAGTTCACGCCTTAGTTTCTGAAAACGTATCATTTTAAATCTGTCTAATCATATTTTATTATTATTATTATTTCAATATTTCTCATGTTCCGTGCACATTAAAACTATACTTGAATGGTCTGACATTACTACCGAATATTATTATTATTATTATTATTATTATTATTATTATTATGGCTTTTCACTTTAAAATAGGTAATGGACGTATGTCAAAGCCTAATTGTTCTCCAGGGAAATCTTTAGATCCATACGAAGCGGCACAAGCTGTTTTTCCCACTCTGATAAGGCCGTTACAAAAGTATATGCGTGTTACACGTCAGCAAGCTCGTCATCCAGTGGATATGGTAATTGATCACCTCGCTCTTTGTTTAGCCTATGGTCTATCACCCCATGCTTTCTTGGAACGGTTCAATCCTTCGGCTGCTACACCACAACAAGATGCTGCTGCTGCAGCAGCAGCTATTGTAACAGCGAAGAGAGCCAAGCAACAACAGAGTGTTAAGCAAGTTAACACGACAGATAATGCAGACTCATGTCCTTTACTGCCTAAACATGTACATCCAGGAGGGCAGCAAGTTTGGAGTATTGTGGCTGATCGTGCTTTATCTCGTAGTTTAGCCGATGGTGCCATATTTCAGCTTCGTCGTGGAAGTGAGCTATCATTACTTTGTACTGTGAAACGCCTGCCACTTATATATCTTGTTGAAGAATTATTAGAACCCCTGGAAGCTGGTAGATTTGTTTTACGAACTGATAATGCCGTATGACTTCATAACTGACAACCACATTGTTCAGGGAATATAATCTCGTCCATGTTGACTGCTTTTTTTTAATCACCATTTTGGTTTGAATATTTTGATCTTGAATGTCGAAGCTAATTCGGTTAATTTATAGAACATGTTGCTTGATTTTATTTGTTGTGACTGTCGCATTTATGAAATCTAAAAAATTCATTTTGTTTTTGTCGAAGTGAAATTCATTATTTGTATTTTATGTTCTTTTTTTTCGCTTTCTTTCCTGGTGCTACTCTTTTTACTCATTACCTTTTAAATTAGGAGAAATTCCATATGCATTTCTTGTTTTAGCATTTTCCATGGGGAGACGCTACTAGTCATCACTGTATTTCTTATGATTGCCACTGTGTCTTTGGTTTTAGCTACACATCATCAATGTTGTCGATAATCATAACCGTGTTCTATTTGTTTCTCTTTTCTTTTGCTATAAGCTTCTATTCATCATTTCCAAAGAAATCGCTGTATCAAATTTGTTTTAGCTTTATTATGCATACTATTCTCATTTACCGGACTATTTGATGAACCAATTGCTTTTAGTACCGGTTGTGTTAATAACTTTTTTTCCTCAGTGGAATTTTGGCATTCTAATTACTTTCTTTTGAGAGAACGGGAAGAGTCTCAAGCTTTATCAGTCGTCAGGTCCATTAAAAAGTATTTATTTCAATCATCTAAAGCCTCTGATCATCATCACTACTATCTAAATCACTATGTATATTAGCAGGCAAGTATAGCGTGGGGATATTCATCTTCGGGTAAAGCGAACAGTGTTTCAGCAGTCTGAAGATTTCTATTTTTTTATACAGTAGTACTATTATTTGACACTTGCTATTTTCTATTGTTAGAAGAAAGCAAAAAAATTACTCACATATTAGCAAACTAAATACAGGTTTCTTTCATACTAATAAGTATCCCCACCGCTGTTTTTAAACACTGAAGCAGCTTGTAAAATTTAATCACAGAATATTCTTTTCGAGGATGAATGGATCCACATTAAGGGGAACCAGTTCTCCCATATCGTTCATCTCTAATAGATACTTACAAAGTATGTAACCAAGACTGATTTATATTCTTACGATTGCTAGATGCCTTCTTATCCTTGTAATCTAGAGTCAGAAGATCTCTGCCCTGTTAGCACATTCTACTTTTGTGCAGCTTTTTCTACTTGTATCGGTGTCCTTTAAGAGACAGAGTTTATGCTTCAAAAGCCAGTGTTTGGAAAATGACTGCCCCATAACAGATTTCCGCCAAACACCGAAGCCACGCAACATTACTAATCTATTTTAGTTAAAGTGCACCAGCTTTCACCATGATTTATGCGATTCCCTACTAATTCACACGTTAAGAAAGGATATCAGGCTCGAGGATTTCAATACCCACTATAGAGGAGTTGATATAATGCTACTAAAATGCGTAAGTCTTCAACAAAATAAAACAAACCTATAGTCACTAAAAGATGATTGCCTATTGTTTCATATGCCTTACCACTTATTTTAGTTGGAAAAACACTGATATCTACTCCCTAATTTTTAAGACGAATTCTTCCAACGAAAAATATAACTGATTTGTGTTAAATGTCAAAGACTCAAGTTAGCGAAATGGAAGTTTACCATTCAGCATGGTTAGTGGAGACTAGTTTGTACCTGAACTAATTAACTAGTTATTGTTATCCCACTTTTGGAAATGAGAAATTTAAATCCTTTTTGTCCTCTTTTCTATCTTCCATCTACTCACTTTATTCCACGATAGAACATTTACTTACTAGCTCACTGCTTTGTCTTCGAATATCACTTTAGGTTGAGGCTTAACTTCATCATTTGGTTTTCATGAGAAACAATCACTTGGCCATATTACATTGTTACAAATTGACTAGTGTGAAATTACTTAACGTTTATATACTTTGTGTTACTACAAGTGGCAAACGGGGTTATCAGTTTCCATCAACTGGAACTCGCAACAGTCAAATGTCGTTTCCATTACACTCAGATTTTTGTTTAAAAATAGTAATTGAATTTTGAGGGAGTTGTGGAGATTTGGAAATATTTCAAGTTGTTATTCATCGTAGACTGACATCAGTTGCAGGAACAAAGGAAACCTGGGAGCACTGGATAGCTGTTTCGTCCTAGTATGGGACTCCTCAGCATTGTGCACCCACGACCCCACCAGAGATCGAACCCGTGACCTTCAGGTTCCGCGGCCAGCGCGTTACCATTGAGCCACTGGGTCAGAATCCGGTGCTCCATATTTCCAACTTCTGTTAGCTCACGATATAGCGCAACCGCGTGACCGGTGGAGTCAAAGCCTGATGGTCGTGAGGACAATTACTCAACGATGACATTGGGTGGCGGTCTGCGCTATATCGTGAGCTAACAGAAGTTGAAAATATGGAGCATTAGATCCTGACCCAGTGGCTCAATGGTAATGCGCTGGCCGCGGGTTCGATCCCTGCCGGTGTGGGGTCGTGGGTGCGCACTGCTGAGGAGTCCCATACTAGGACAAAACAGCTATCCAGTGCTCCCAGGTTTCCCATATTCCTCCAACTGACGTCAGTTTACGATGAATAACAACTTAAAAATAGTAAGTAGTTTATCAACTAGCGCTTAAAAAATTGACAGGTGATGCCGTTATAATTTTAGTCTTTTACTTTGAGCATTGCATCAACAACTCTTAGTCGTTGAGAGTTTTTGTCAACTCTGTCACATCAATCCACTATTTGAAGTAATTTTTACAATTCAGAAAAAATCATAGCAAAAGCGTAACTTAATCTAATGTCTAACAAACCGGGCAAGGAAGATATGTTCCAAGGACAAGTTGGGTGCTGACATGGAGAACGCCGCAAGTTTTCTTACAGACTGACACAGAAGGACTAAATAGTCGTTTGCAACGAAATTTAAGCAGCACGTTTCCTGTTGTTAGATTGACTTTAAAAGCTGGTGCATCTTGTCTACGGTTGTCAATGATGGAGTCCCTCATCTATCTGAATTCATTCAGCTGGTTCGTACTTTGAACGAATGATGAGGTCTCTATAAGCTTACCGAACAACGTCTTCCCACATCGTTAAACAGGAGAGAATTAAAGGCAAACACAGACTGTGAACTGGCATGGTTCATATAATACAGCCTTCAGTATTATCCACCAGGTTCCATATGGATTACAACATGGTATCCGCCTTCATCTTCTGCAGACGGTGAGGGCGGTGGAAATCAGGTCTATAAAGCCTGTCTTCTTTATTCAAAAAAATGTTTTCAGACATAATCTTTGACAGTGTATTACCTGTGATGAAAAATAATATTAACTCACTACTGCTGCCATTATTATCCAACTTTCATTTGTTTTTCATGTAAATAACGATGAAATATTTGTTATTTATGTATGATCATAGCTTTTTGTATACGATTCCCTTTCACTGTATAACTTGTCTTTTCTATCGTATTCACCATCTGATTAAACCCCGATTAAACTTTACGCTGATTTCATTTTCATTCCACATTTGTGGTTGCTCATTTCTCTAGCTACTTGTTATCAAAACTACTCGCTTCTCTTTACTACTTATAATCGTTTTGTTGCATTATCTTCCCATATAGACAGCCAAATGTTAACTAATTGTAGTGTGTGAGTTAAATATATGTATTCCGTATTTTACAAAATTAATATTTAATAGTTGCGCTTCACAACAGAAATTAGTAAAGAAATATAACTACATAATCCAGTAAGCAAACTAACAATAAAGGAGAAACAATGTAAATAGCATAGATTTAACTCATCGAAGGAGAATTAAGGGAGTTCATGCACGTTAAACTGACGCTGGAAATGTTTTTGTTCAGAAAATGCTGTGGTAATGTTTAATTTACTGCTCACCAACAAAAGTGGCTAAACTCAGTCAGTTTGTGTGCAAATTGGTATGGTTGATTCCCTTTTCCAAAGTGGTTAGCATACAGTGAAGACGGACGTATCTTCACTGCAATCGATTCTGAGCCGTATCTCCTTGAGTCACCGCAGTAACCTGAAAGTCTACACTCCCATACATCGTCCAAACCAACAGTTAAAAGCTCAGTAGACCGATGCTGCGTTCTAATCTGACGCCACTTGTAATCGTTCCGACCTTGCACTGCTTCAGCTATTGTAGTGTAGATGGTGACCACATTTGTGTGACACATTTGTCAGCCATCTCAGCTGATGGTTTATTACACCAAGAACCGAATTGCCTCTCTGACCTATGACTGTTCTGAACTTCTATGTTCCTGACGTGGTGGTTGTATGACATGCGGCTGGTGTTTTGAAGTCAATAGTGTTGGGACATTTGGAGCCTTGTAATGTCCTCCTTTTTTAATGGCCATGTTAGACAGGGAAAGTGAAATGAAGCGAACTAGTTTGGATTACCGTCGAACCCCAATGGACAGTCATATGATGGTGGTGGCTCCATAAGTGGTGTAAGGTGGTGGAAACCAATGGATCATTTTGTGGAATTGCCGAGATCTCGCCAACTACCCAGCAATCAGGACGGAGCGACTGACCGATCTGTCAAGTTAGTGAGGTGGTTACCATGGTCAATCACTTCAATGTCCTATTGTCAGATGAGTTACCAAAACAGACTAGTTGTGAACCAACAATTAGCATTGAGGAGGTGAGGAATAGAGTTAAAGCATTCCAAAGTTTGTAGCTAACATATTCACAATGTTCTGCATTTTGTCATCATCTCCACCCAACATAACTGATATGGACATGTGTATGGTGAAAATAGATAAGAATGGAGAGTGGATATTGTTGATGAGCACCACTGGATGTAGAGAATTCACCTGATGGCTCACCGCAGACTGTAACATGAACATGTGATTTGAAGTATGAGTTTTTCAATGAGGTGATGAATCTGGTGAAGAGGTCTTTCAGTGGTAGATACTAACACAAGACTTCTGAGTTGATGGAGTTGAATGTCGCTTTCAGGTGAAGAGATACAACTAGTCTCAGGGACTGATAAGTATGCCTTTTTTTGGGTCGGGGGGTGGGGTGGGGTGGGAGTGGGGGGTTTGATATAGTCAGTAGTGAAGATTTTTAGGATCTATCGAGAAATAGGTTTGAGAATTGTTTGACTTTTCCGAGGTTGGATTTTGTGGCCTGCATTAGGGTGTCAGTTGATGATGGGACTCAGGATCTCAGATGGTGTGTTCGTCAGGTTGATTTCTCTGTGGTTGTCACATGAGGATTTATGTTGTTCGTTGAATACAGGAACAACTGGCGATTGATAGGGGGATCATATACGCCGTTTATTATCTCAGTCAATCTAGTCAATAATGATCGGTGGCTACGGTGTTTAAATACTGCTGGTGCTAGTCGATCATAGTTGTGTCTTTTTTGTTTTCAAGACACATGCAGCCTTTACTGTCTCTGTAAGAGCTGAAGAGCAGCTAAGCTGTTTGTCGAAGTGTTCCATTTATCTATCGATTTGTTTAGCTTAGTGAGCTTCATGATTCACAGATCAATCTTCCTCCTCTCTGGTGTCACTAGCCGTGATGTTTTCGTTTTGATTTCTTATTTAAATCTAAGTAGCTATCTACTGTTATTTGCCCAGTTATGTTTTGCATCTATTTTGCAATCACTGCTTACTGTTTCCCATGGTCATCGGGTAGATTCGTTGTGGACTTACATGTGATCTGGTTTCGCTGTTCACTTTTGTCCGTACCTACAGAGTCCGTTCACGTGAATTTATTTGCATTGATTCAAAAGACGCTTCTGAAACCCATTGATTTTATTGTTATGGTGTTTAACACTGTTTTTGCAGCCGACTTGCAATATTACCAGACGTCTTTAGAAAAAGTGAGGTTTTGACATCCAAATGAATGTTTTTGGAGATTCCTTTTCACAATAGCGTTATAAATAGCAACGTCATCGAGTTAATCTGGGAAGTATCTTCTTCTGGTTGGAGTTTTCTACTTCGATGTGGATGCAGACGTAAACATGTTTGACCGAATGTTTAATTGCTGTCTAAGCACGTGCTCCAGAATTGATGAAAATGTTTGGTTAAGCGTTTCTAGTCATCACTGATGTTTATTTTTGTGATCTTTTAGTTTGTAGTTGGTGGTTGGTTTTTGAGAGATCGTGTCTCATTATCTTCGAAATATGTTCTGGCTGTAAGTAAGTGTTTATAGTAGTTTTCTACTCGTTATCCCAATTGTTTGGTTGTTAAATGACCGGTCAATCAACGGTATACATATTACTTAATATTCAGGAATCCGTATCATGCCATAATGATCTGTCAGTAAAATAACCCTTCATTTAATCTCCATCTCTTTCTTTGGTGCACTAGAAGTCGCAGTTGTGACACCTTGGTTGGTTTGCGTTTTTTAGCTACCAATGAAAACCACTGTTAAGTTTCACAACTGCTTGTTAATCGGTTGTTACATTCCAGCCACTGGTCATATAGTTTGTAAAGGCCTAATTTAAATGATGTGCTCTGTTATTTACTTTGAATATAAGTTTGTATTTTGTTACACCGTAAAATAATTGTTGGCCAGTCATTCTGTCCTATAACTTCAATTCGTTTGACATGTTTAACGCTTATAAGTTGGGTTTCATAAGCAATCAAATCATCACTGAGGCACAATTAAATAATTTTAATCAGTCAATAGTAAATTCTCATTATTCACTGCATTATCTGTTCAGATATGAATACGTTTGTGAGGTTCATTTTTGGAGTAGCAGGAAACCAATTTTAGGTACGGAAAAAGTAATTTCTATGAGATTATTTGAACAGTGTGGATTTTCTTAAGACTCATCTGCGTCACAACATGTAACTAATAATTATTTTTTAAAGAATGAATTTTACAGTCTTTATTTGCATGAGGAACCCTAAGGTGAGTTAAATAAGGAAATTATTTGTCAACGGGGTGACTGAGTTTTCTCATGTGTATACATATATAGGCTTTAATTCCAGAGTTGTCAGAGTTAGTTTTAAAAAAGTAGCAGTAAAAGGTGTTCCAAAGGAAGTGAGTTGAATTCGTGAATTATTTTGAAATCACAATGAATCTAGACTGTAAGGCTAAAGCTGACTAAATGCTTAAAAATGAAATCCTAATAATTATTGTATCACCTGGTAAACAGTGCTTGGAGATATGGTTTCATGCATATCCCCCATCTTAATACTAACTTGGCATAGTTTTATCACATAATCGTCAATAGGTAGCGAGAATCCATATTTTGAGTCGATAACTAATATTGCTGTAAAGGCTTACATATTAAACATTCAGATATCATGATAATACTGTCAAAGAATTAGCACTTTTGAAAAAAAAAACGTCTATTGATAAAGTGTCTATCAACTGCATTTTCTGCTAACTAATGAAAATCGACATTTTTTTTGGTTACCTACAGTTGACTGCCGAATAAAAAGGTGTAAATTATAGAAAATAACAATCAAGTCATTTCTTTTTGTTGTTATTGTACAAAATAAATAATTGTTGTCAGGGCAACCACGCAGTCTGAAATGAGGTTACTGATCATCATGAACAGCTGGTAAATGAATGAAGTGTATTCGAAGGTAGATATTGAATACAATTTAAGATAGATTGATGGGATTCTCAACAATATCTTTAAATTATGGTTTGTTTTTTACTGTAAAGTTTGGAGAACACTCAAAAGGAATTCCATTTTCCAAGGAATTTGATAAATTATTTTCAGTTAGGTATTATCTCCAAACGAAAATGATGGTTGGAGACTGTAGGTAAGCAATATAGTTCGGACTCAACTGCGGTAGTGCAAATCTACACACTTATCTTCATACCACTTGTCATATCACAAACAGTTCTTCGCTTTCTTTTCTTACAAATTTCTGGGATTTCTGACTACATTGTTTCTGCTTCTATGCCTTTCATATTACTGCCTTCTATTTTGATAAGGAGATATGAAATATGGCAACTAAATCCATTAAGTAGTAATACCGCATCCTATGTTGATATTGACTCAGACAATAAGTCGAAACTTTCCAACTTTTACAATTATCACAAAACAAATGATTCACATAAAAGTCGCGTGTACAATACCTTGTTTGAAGTTTAAAAAAAGTTGTAGATATGTACTTCTCAGTCTCATTCTTCCGGTTAAAATATAAATGGATAATGACGACATTCCATTCCACGCTACTCTCCAATTGTACTTATTTGTTGGTGCTAGGTCAAATCAATATTTGTTTACTATTTACTTCATATTTTACCACAGATTCGCAGTTATTTACTTTTCATTTTAAAATTCTCGTCACTTGTGCGTAAGTATTATTATAACAATCTAGTTCTCACCATAAAGGAATAAATAAATGTTTCTTGCTAGTGAGAGACTCTCCTCTCATATCCAGAAATTGGGATTTTCTATCTTGGATATACAGGAAAGAACTAATCTGATAACAGTTTCATTTTAAAGGGATCAAACTGAACCGAAAGTTGACATTATTTCTTATATACGAGAAAAATTGTCTGCGAGAATAATAAACTAAAGAAAATCAAAAAATCAGATAATTTACCTGTTGATTTGAAATGAATAAAAATTTACAAGTTTCAATAATCACATAAATATATAATGATAATGACTGATCATTTTAGCAAGAGCATATATAACAATGAAATACTCTTCTTATAATTTGAAATACAATCTGTGATTACAGACAGTGCAGAAACAGATCTAGAATCGAATAAAATTTTCACTAGAATATTGCAGAGGAACAAAGTTATGGAATTCTTTAAAGCCATAAACAAGAAAAGATTATGCATAAATTAAGAAAAACAGGATTTCGTATCGTGTATAGGGAAAATTTTATAACAGCTCACAGTGTATATTTTTATTTCATTCTAGGTTTTGGATTTTGTTTTATTTTTGTTTACCTGTTTTTAATTCTCGTTGACTGTTTCTGATGTCTTTCACTTTAGGGAAACCATCAAATGTTTCACGGTTTTTTCTAACCCAGTAAGCAGCTTTCGCTTCTTCCATTAGCATAAAATTCTTCATATTTTCACGTTTCATTGATGAATCTTTAACTTCAACACAAATATGACTTGGGAACCAACCGCGTCTACCATCAGGTAAGGCACCTTTAAGCCATCCTATACAAAAATGAAATGGAAAAGGTTTAGGGATGGATTGTTATAAAAAATAACTTGATGTAATTGCTTTCACTAATTATTTTTCATATTTGCTAAATCCCTTATTATTTAGCCAAATCGTATTAAGAGAAAGCTTCACAACAAAGTACTATGAATGTTACAAAACCAAACACTGCTTATTTTTAAGTACTATGTCTTCAATCTATTACTACTTTTACAAGTTGCGACATGAATTGTCGGCAGCTTTTGCAGTCAATTTGAAAAGAAAGAATACTTTTTAAAAAAAAATTGAATGTTTCACTGAGTCAAATATTTTGGAGAAAATTGGTGACTGGAGACTTAATGAGTTAACAATCAACTATATGGAATTTTAGAAGACATTGGCGTTATGAGTAATATAATTTTACCAGCCTTTCTTATCATCACAATGAATGAAAATAAATTTTAATCAATTTTTATGTATTTTTCTTAATCTGCATTTATAAATTAGTACTTCTCACTTTTAAAGTTTCTCATACCAGTTTTATTCTGGAGTGTAATATGATTTGCTTCGTATTGGTAAAAATATAAATGTAAATATATTTTAGAATACAAAGAAATTTGGATACTTAAATAGTGATCATTGATATCATTTTCAGATCAGGAAGTTACTACAAGTTCGAATAAGATCACAGTGACATGATAATCTTTGGAAGTAAGTTAGTAATAATGTCGAAATTTCTTGAAAGTATTTGGAACTGAATTATGTTTATATAATTGGTACTTGCTTGCAAACATATGATTAGTACATGTTAAAGCAGTACTGTGATGTGTTCTACTGATAAGAACATATATAAGTAGTATGTAGATTAGTATCGGTGGTAAAAGTAATTAGAGTTGACATTCAACTAGTAGAAGTTCTGTTGGAAGGGATAAACACATCCGGAAGGTAATAGTGACAAACGAAGAAGCAGAAAAGCTAAAGGATAAGTTGTTTCGAATGCCGATATTTGTATTAGCTAAGTTGAATGATTGTGATGTTACATCCGTACTCAGTTTAGTATCCAGATCAACAATGCTAGTCTTCTTTCAGAATACGGTTTTGAAAAGAAGTATACTGTCGATTTGTTTGTTTGTTGCAACATACTCACCAAATCTCTTACAATATATGACAATGAAACTAAAAATACGCTCAAAGCACCACTTTTGGACCATAAGTGTATGAATATTTATGGCAACAGGTACAAACATTCACCTTCGGAATGTTAGGGTTTATTCAACTATTTAAACCTGAGTAATTATGAATCAGAGTTTACTAAAGGTACTGCTCACATTTTTCCATTGATCGCATATAGCTGGTTGTTTCGGAAAACCAGTGGATAAAAAGGCTCTATCGTAGTTAACAGACACACTTTTGCTTAGTTATCAGGATGAACTTTTCAGTTCCTAGACTTTGCTTTCATCAGTCTTCCGGATATTTTTAAACTCAAAATGTTAAACCTTATAATTTTACAAGATTTCCGCTACTTCGCTTCTGCTATATAATAAAGTAAGCATACAATTAGTAACCTTGGAAAACCTAGAGTAAGGAGTTTGTTCTATTGAATTCTTATTTTCAGTTTAAAAAGTCTTATTTTAAGAAGAAATATTGTAAGAAATATTATTTCCGTAGTAATTTATTTATCTATGAATTCAAAAATCAGGGTATTTGCACTTCACAATAATGGTCAGGTTCATCATTATAGAAATAAAAATTCACTTGGTAATATCTACGACTGTTTAAGTACGGTATGTCAATGGATGGAAATCAAAAGTACTTAAAGACTATTTTCAATATGTAGGGTAACCTTAGCTATTAATATGGGGCTTTTTTTCTGAACAGAGCACAGAGGTAGTTTCTGATGAAATAATGAAATATTTTTAAGGGAATGTTAAATTCTTTAAAAAAAATAGTTTAAAGGGCTAAAAGTAAGTCATACCATCTGAAAGACTGATAAGCACATTGACTTGATCCCCTTCTTTTAGCTCCAACTCATCGCATTCAAGGGCAGAATACGGTTTTGTGATAAGTACTTGAGGACATTCTGAACAGTAATAGGATGTAATAAAAAGGAAAGTATTTATTGAATGTAAATAACCAGTAGAATTGGAATTTTTACTATTATACTTTTATGTCGGTACTTGTATCATCTCATCGTTGACCGGACCAAACCAGTCGATCTCTACTGACACTTGAGCTCCTGCAGGGATGCCTCGATATTGCCTCTATTTCAGTCTTATAATAATGATGGACAGTGGCCAGCAGTGAAATCAATGGAATCAGCTGGATGTACCTGCCTCTCAGTGAGCGATGTTGTTCTTGCTAATACTTGAACCCGGAACCGATTGCTTCAAACACCAGAGCGTCGTATACTAGGCCTCCTTTTGGGCAACGCATATAGTCTTTATGTCGTCACTTGTATTATCCCATCATTGACTTGGCCAAATTGATCAGTCTACTGCTAGCCGCTATCCATCATTAGTACAACATTGAAACACAGGCAATATCGAGGTACCTGCGCAGGAGCTCATATGCCAGAAAAGATCGATCAATTCGGTCAAACTAGCGATGGAATAATACAGGTAGCAACGTAAAAATCATACCCGTCGCACTAGAACTAGGTACCGTGACTCGGCGGCCTATTGGATAACTTTTTGAAGTTTGAAGCGAACGGTCCTGGGTTCGAATCTTAGTGGGAACAACATCGTTTGCTGGTAGGCAGGTACATTCAGTCGACGATTCCAAAATAGGACGAAACGCAAGTCCTGGGTTCCATGGCAAGCCACTGTCCATCACCAATACTTTGTACTTTGACATGACAGACACCGCTCAAAGAATAGGCCATCGACCAAATAGTCCATGTGACATATAGATGATACAAAATAAACACAGAACTTCAACATTGATATTTTAATGAATTGCTTCGCATGTATCAAAGTTGCTTTCCCAAAACAGTCATCCTATAGTATAGTAGTCGGATTTGTAAGCTATCCTTCTGTTGATTAATTATAATGATATACTTTACAATTTGGAGTCTGCTATTCGTTATCTTAGCTTAAAGAATTTACATGAATATGAGTAATATATTTTGAGTCATTTACCAGGTATTTTCATATGGTTAGACAAAGATGAATGACTCACCTGTCTTCTGCCTGATATGTAAATTCAGTGTACACATGGAATACCTGTGATTCTAGACGCATATTGCATTGCATCACATATCTCGTCCGAAAGTTATGACAACCAAGACATGTCATTTTTGATTTACAGAAAACAAGAGTCGTACTGGTAGTCGTAATCTTCGCATTTACTTTTACTTTCATGGCATACTTTAAATTCAGTTGCAAACGAATAAATTGAGTCATTAACTTGCACGCGGGTTATAATATGCAGCAACTTTCAAAATTCACTTTTAGATGTGGGTAATCTTCATTTCAAAAACTGTAGCCTTTCGGTAAACTTTAAAGAATTTCACTTTGTACAAGGTTTAGGTACTAAAATGTAGGAGATCAATTATAACATTTCACGATTTTTTGTGTAATTATGCAGGTCAGCGAATTTCTGAAAATATTCATCCCCATATTTTGGTATGAGTGACCAGACATTTTAATCCAACCAATGAAAGTCATACTTCTTTTATTCCCAAACCACCTTAGGCTTGCTTGTCTTACTTCATATTTGTTTTTCTTACAGTAACTAATATTATCGACAAGCCATTGTTTTTGTTACCTTTTTCTGACAGATTTAATATGATTCATAAGCCACGCAAACACATAAGAACGATGTTGTACTAATGCCGTCTGGTGTATTTTGTTTTACTTCAAAGTAATTTGCCATTGACGTTCACTTGCAGGGATTTTATAAGTATTGAGGCTATCAGACAAGTAGCTAGGTTACTCCAACGCATTGGGATGGTTTTGTCTAAATTCTAGTGCAACTTTAGCCCTATTTATCAGAACAACTTAACATGTCTACTGTTTCCGTACTGTATCTTGCGTATTGTAAGAAAAGGTGGAGATCATTTTCAAGATGGGGTCAACGTGTTTACAGCTAGAGCACTAAAAAAGACGCCTCTCGGTGTTTATGAGCATGGTGTAATAAAGAACAAATCAATAGTCGTATCCATGATAAATTTGGACACTGTGGAGATAATCAATTTATTATGAACATATTTGTAATGAATTTTAAAGACTTCAGGATCGAAATTTGACCTGATAGAACTAAGTTGAGCAGCAACTAAGTGGTTTACAAAGGAATGTATTTGTAAAATCTCAATGAGGAAGAAAATAAATTTCCGAATTTTCGTGACCTCATGGAAGCTGTTTCTTCAGAGAATTAAAAACTGTACATAGTATCTCATACTTAATGACTAAATGGAGACAAATCATATCACTTTGTTCATACATGATAATAATATGAGAATAAATATGTTATCAGCATCATTTACTGGTCCATGGGTTCAAGGTGAAAATGTAAAGCTGGTGGGGTCGTGGGTGCGCACTACTGAGGAGTCCCGTACTAGGACGAAGCAGCTGTCCAGTGCTCCCAGGTTTCCTTTGTTCCTTCAACTGATGTCAGTCTACGATGAATAACAACTTGAAATAATTCCAAATCTCCACAACTCCCTCAAAAAAATTTAATTGAACTGGTGCTCATTGGTGATTAGCTTCGAGAAGTATTCCCGAAGTTCCAATGAGAAGTAGTGACCGGTGGAGTCAAAGCCTGATAGCCATGAGGACAGATACTCAGCGATGACATTGGGTGGCGGTTGCGCTATATATCGTGAGCTAACAGAAGTTGGAAATATGGAGCACCGGATTCTGACCCAGTGGCTCAATGGCAACGCACTGGCCGCGGAACCTGAAGGTCACGGGTTCGATCTCTGGTGGGGTCGTGGGTGCACACTGCTGAGGAGTCCCATACTAGGACGAAACAGCTATCCAGTGCTCCCAGGTTTCCTTTGTTCCTGCAACTGATGTCAGTCTACGATGAATAACAACTTGAAATATTTCCAAATCTCCACAACTCCCTCAAAATGTAATGGTGTGTGTGAACCTGAATGAGTGTGAAGGTGTGCGAACAATGGTATGGATGAGAACTTCAGTTTGTTCGTATGTATATGTGCTTTAGTTACGATTATTGTGTGCAACGCGTTATTTTCAATATACTGTTCAAGTTGGTTGGATAGTTAGGGCTTCCTTTCTGTTGAGTGCATTAGTATTTAGCATAATATGAAATGCCTCAACTATCATCTTTCCTTGTAGTTTGAAAATCCTTTCTAAATAGTTTTAATATTTTCAATATCAATTTTGTGACGGTGATAGGTGGCATGAACCGCAATCGCCGATTTGATTTGTACATTTTCCAGTGGTCTTTTTGTGTAGTTTGCGTGTTCTTCAGCAAGAATGAGGATTTCGCGGGATGACACCCCAATATGACAAGTATCACAGTCGGCAAAGCCTAATCTGTAGACACTATTCTGTGTGGAGATGAAATGAATCCTATATGTTAAGTGAGCTAAAGCATTCCTGACAATTTTGGTTGTCTTGTGGAATGCTTTAATTCAGCGTTTTCTTAAAATTATTTTGTAACCCTTCAGATGTATGTTGGCGGAAAGATAGAACTACTGCACTAATCCAAGACTCATCATTCGATTTTCCTTTGGGATTTGCAATGAATATTTAAACAGGTCAATGTTACTTGATTTTTGTAATATTTCGGATAAGAAGATTGGCTGATCACGGGAAGTTTCGCTCGAAATATTACCGAAATTAAATAATATCATTGAATGGAAGTATTCATTAAACATATATTTGTAAAAAACCAGTAATTTGAACTTGTTTGGCTATTTAAAGGAGGTGGAGATATTGCTTACTGTTGTCAACAAATAAATAATAAAGCAATGTTTGACATATTGTTTCTCTTTGTATGGGTCGTCATCGTCGAGCAAAGTTTCTTACATTGAATCTTCATGGCAGGATCGGTTGGTAATATTTGTATACTAATCTTATACTGAACAACTTTAAAAAAATAAAAAGACTGTCCCAGCCTTATGTTAAGTTTGAAACATATCCATTTAAATCTTCGTGCATGTTAAACCTATGCTAGTCTCACTGTCATAGACCAAAGCGTACAGTTCTGTTGTTTAAAGCAGTTATATTAGCCAATAGAGGTTAATGAATTTTGTATTCAGTGCAGATAGTTTCTGTTAGACTTATTATGGTAAATGTTCTAGATGAGTTAATGGTTATGAAATTTCAGTGTTTCGTATATCATAAAATTGACTAGGGAATTACTTTTGGGACTAAATTAATTTCGACCGTCGTGGTTGTAATAAAGATGTCAAATTTCGTCATAAAAAGGTAGGTTGCTGCTTATTAAAGCGAATAGTTTATTTCATTGTTCATGTACTCAAACAACTACTGTTTCTATGTATTATTTCACAATACAAACATTTCACATTGTGTTCAGAATATTGGCACGGAATTAAGTAGTTGGAATGATAATAACGAAACATACTCATATATTCATGTCCTTTTGAAACACCCATATTAGGTTACTATAATATGATACTCTAGTATAGTAAGACCAAGTACCTGTTAGAATTAGGAACTACATTAATAAACTTATAAAAAGTCGACTGACTGTTTGCTGTGGTTTGTTAGGCATAAAGTTTTTTCTTCGAGTGACTGAAAATTCAGAGCTTATGCATTTGGTACTATTTTCAAATCCTCGAAAGTAGCACAATGTGAAAGTCAACTTTAAAACCACATATTCTGTCTTATTCAAAGATATGACTTAATTGGCAGTAAAATTTCTTCCAGCTTCCCACTAAAATGAGTAAATTCATTTCATCGAATAAAGTTGTCGATGTCCAGTTTAGCAAGGTATTTATAGAAGTCTATGTTTGTGTCACTTTTTTGATGTGTGAATAGACACATAAATAGACAAAATCAAAGTAGAACCTTACATGGAAGTACAACGTTTCAATTTGACATAATTCAGAGTAACATGGAAAGAAAGATTGATATAAAAGTAGACGAAGGTCCACGGGAAGAGAAGAAATTTGAAAATGAAGGTTAGTGAAAATGTCCAAGCTTTGGAAGACTTCAGAGAGCGAATATATCCCCGCCGTTGTGGCCAGCATCATGCCATTTCACCGAAATTCTCGAGTCATTGGTTCCTATGGTCTCATGGAACCCAGCCAGGTAGTCTACACATCTACTCGGCTGAGACCAGGAGTATGGGACTTTATCGACTGACGCCACATCTTGGTCTGACCACTCTGAACCCTCTTGCAGTCTAAACCAACTTCCACTGGCATAGCAAATTGAGGTAGGCGGGGGTTCTGCATCCGCAATACATATCTAAGCCAAGTCAATCAAGGGGGTTCACAACCTCACGGTGATTCCACAAATGAGACCAATACTAAGAAGACGCCTGTGGTCAATGACCTGCAGTCTCTTTATGTTCTCTACTTTAAAAGGCAATGTCTTACAGCTGTATAACAAGAAAGAATGGGCTGCAGTGCAATATACTCGTTCTCTAATAGGTAGTCGGATATCTTGGCGATCGGCGACAGAAATGATACAGTTTGCCAAATGCCAAGTGAGCCTTTTTGTATCATGGCTGAGATTTCATTGGCAACCAGCCTGTTCGGGCCAATGCAACTCTCAAAGTAAGTGAAGTGGTCGACGCATTCCATCACTTCGGTCTCCATCCCTTGAACTAGGAGTAGTTGCAGACCAGCTGTGAAGTATCATCTTACATTTCACAGGCACGAAATGCATGCCAAACAGAAATATTTCTGCCTAAGGTATTCATAAGAAGCCGTATTTTGTTAGCGTCTTCACCAGGAAGAAAAGATCATCTGAGTGCTCTAAGTCAAGCAGGTGACCTCCAGGGAGTAGATCAATTCCTGTGAAGTTAGGAGTACCTAAAGTTATTTCCATTGGTTCATCTATGATAAAGTTGAAAAGGGAATGATGACAACGAGTTTCGCTGGCAGATATCACTAGTTGGCATCAATTCACGTGACAACTCTCCTTAAGTCCTTACATGGCTACGTGAGTTCGAATAGAGAGCTTTGACTGTTATTGCATACTTCTTTGGTACTCCCTTCACAGTCAGACACTGCTACAACACCTCAAGGTCTACAGAGTCAAATACCACCTTCACATCAAGAAACGTGGCAAATGTTCGCCCCAGATAAGTATATCTGTGTTCCATGACCTGTTAGAGGGTGAAGATCTGATCAATACACCCTCTTCCAGGTGCGTAACATGCCTGGTTTTCTTGAGTTTGGCGTTCTCAGGCTCCAGTTAATCGTCGGACAAATATCGAATCCAGAGTTTTCAACACGATATTAGTCAAACTGATTCCTCTAGGGTTGTCATAGGATTGCTTCTGCCCTTTCATATAGGCTAGGCTGATCAATGAAACAGACTAGTCCGAGGAGTGAACCTGTGGTTCTTATACACTACCTAGTACCTCCTTCACTTTAATTAGAAATTTCCTACCTCCATCCTTGAAAATTTCAGATGGTAAACTGTCACTTCCCGCTGCTTGGTACAGTTTTAAGTGTGAAACAGCTTTCTTAGCTTCAAGAACAGTTAGTGGACCGACTACTTTGTTCCACTCAGATTCGGGCTGAATAGTGGACAGCTAAAGTGTAGCTGTGGGCCAGTTGAACTGTACTTCTAAGTGCTACGCTGAACGTTCTAGCCTCCTCTTTTGAGAGGTTATCAGAGTCCCATACTTTTTTGTTTGATGGTCTCACTTAATAATGTCTTCCTGCCAGTATGTATAATGAGTCTAAATAACTGCCAAATATTACCCAAGGCTGATGCTTTCTCCACCTATCTCACAATCGTCACCCACCAGTGCTTGCGATCGCTGCGAAAAACGTTGGTCATTTTACGTTTAGGTTACTTTCGCTCTTCATTGAGGTCAGAGCCAGCTGGAATCAGTTTTATTACATCAATGAGTTTTGATGACATCGCAGAAATCAAACGATGTTTGTTAAGCCTCGGATATAGGTTTCCAACTGTCTTTACCGTTGTTTCTACAGCAGACTTCACATCACGCCAGGCTTCTTCATGGTGAGCATTGCTGTCACGTTCAGATAATTGCTTAGCTACATCTTCACTAAATACGTACCTGGCATCTTCATCTTCCAACCTATCACATATAGGCCTCAATACCTGCTGTTTATGCGATGAGAAAGGCACAGACATACGCCGAACCGTACCAACGCATCAGAGTTCAAACAGGTACTCCAGAAAGAGTAGCAATCCGTAACCGACCTTGTCCAACGATGGGTTGAAGTAATGTAACCTATCTGTGTACATCGTCGGTTTGAAGTCTACAGATGCCATGTGCTACAGTGTTTCTCTTTATTCCTAAAGTTAGCACTGACCAGAAACATGTGATTGTCGGAACAAGATTGCAACAGACGATTACTGTTTTCGGTTCGTTGGCATGGAATTCCATAAATGCCGGAAGATGTCTTTCCTATGTACTCGACTTCTCCACTTTAGCTTTAAAGTCACTTGTCATAATGACTAGATCTGAAAACTTTACGTTCCGTGGCAAAATTGACAGCTCCTCAAAAAATTAATCTCTTGCGTCATCCGAACTGCAGTCGGTGGTTGTGTAGATGGAGAACAAGAATAAGCATCACCTAGTCTCACGATCCTTCCCAGTTCTTACAGATCTATTCAGCCGAACAGCATACAGACGGCTGCTGACTGGTATCCAGTTGAGAAGCATACTTTCTACCCTACAGTTCATTGATGTATCTGCATTAGAGATTCCATAAGAGGTAGTCATTGGGTCACAGCATTACTACATTAGGCCAAGTTAGTTACCTCAGTCGGATCCTGTTTACCTGTCACAGAAGTCCAGCATACAGCCAGGGGTGGAGATTCTGGAGTTCTAGCAAGAGATGCCTACTATCCGATTTCTCACGGGATTCGGACGTTGAATTAGCCAAGGTGGATCAGACAGTAACTTCTTAGGACACAAGGAATAAGGTTTTGATGGCTGTTATCGTTGGTACTGGTTACAAAATGAGGTGTTGAGGAAGATGTAAGAGGCCTAATGTTAGTATAGGGAGGTAAAGGCAAGAGAGGAGACAAAGGTAAGGAAGACAGTACATAGTTGATTAGATTTTGTATACTACTGGAGGTGTGGGGGTGGTTGACACTTCTCGACTGTCCAAACAGGGAAAGTTGTTTCTGATGAGACTTAAAAGAAGAAAAGGAAAAGACTAGTAACAGCAGGTCCCAAGGGACATCTGTTTGAGGACTGTCACACGCAGCGTCCTGAGAATCATTGACTTCAAATTCGGTAGTCTTAATGTCGTATGGGAATAAGTATTTTCGCCAGCACCAGACGGTCGCTGGGAAGGGAGGAATGTGCCATTTTTAGAGCCAACTTTTCCTAATCCCTTTTAGATACAATAGGCAGCATCAGCATGATACTGCTGGTTATTAGAGGGAAACGCCTTAATGTTGTCACATTCTAACCAGCTAGCAGTACAACTTTAACATTGGACTCCAATCATGGCTCAGCAATTTACGCTTTAATGGTGACTGCTTTTTGTTTTACGACTCAATATCCAACAGACTTTTTTGACCTAGTAGGACCTCCAGGGAAAAAGCTTTCCAGTCAGAGTAGCTCGTTAGATCATTGTGATACGCAAATTGACCACCAAGTCAAGGTGGCAGCTGTCGATCAGGAGTGAATGGAGATGTTACATCTTCCAAAAGAAAGTTTTTTCAAATGGGATTTCAGAATTCCAAAGTCTTTTGTTGTTGTGTAGATTGATTGCAAAAGCCCCGTGAGAACACTACCTTACTCAGAAAATTCAATATCAGCAAAATTTTCATTAACACTTACCGCAAATTTCACAGCCCAGCTTTTCTGGCACACCATGACGACCAGATGACAGACCATCCAACCACCGTTCTCTTTTAGAACTAAATGAACAGATGCAAAAAGTGTTCAGTAGAAAAAAAGAATAGGATCAACTCGAGAGATACTGTTTGCTTCTGATATTTTATGGGTCAAAGAAGGAAATAATGAAACTTAGATTCTTGAGTCACTTCAAATAATAAAAGTGTATTCACTTTAGAAACACCGAATTTTTAAGGTCATATATAAGAAGGGTTTGTTTGCACTTCAAAATTATGGGTACTGTACTTTTAGAACTAACTTCCGATTGGTATTTTTGTTGAAATTTCACGAAAAGTTAACAGTGAAAAACTCATTTACAGTTTCATACTTTACTCCACTTATTACTATATTTTCTCATCCTAAAAATGAGATTTCTCCACAGGTTACTTGTCAGACAAAATAAATTTTGTGAATATTCCCAAGAAAGATGGGAATGCATTCTCAGTGTGAGGAATAAGGCGAAGTAAGTAGAGAACCTTGGAAACCCTTTTCAGAGAATATTAGACTATCATAACGCTTAGTTACTAGGTAAGGAAGTTATTTCATGCACAATGAATTCTTCAGGGAATCGTTAGAAATTCACATCCTAAGTCGTCCAGTTGAACTGTCACAGAAATTTCAGGGACTTAACTTTTAAAAGGGAGTTCACATGGTTTATTTATACACCTATTATTCGGGACTATGTGTCTGAACAGTTGTTCAAGAATTTCGGAGTTGAAACAATAAATTAACCCCACTTTTTCACAGTTTGCAGCACTGTTATAAACCGACACACCAGTGACACAGCAAAGAGAGATGCTTTAACAAAAAGCAAAACAGCATAATCTTCTGAATAAATAAAATCCTATTGATACTGGATGATGACTATAGGTGAAATGGAAACCGAGGTAGGTACAGGATTCGAACAAGTGGCCTTTAGGATGCCAACCGGTGCCATATCAACTGAGCTACAAGACCAAGATTTTCATTTCACCTTCAGTCATCATCTAGTAACAGTAATATTAGTCTATCAAACCACGACAAGGTCCAATAGTCATACAGAAAATAAAATTTTACTGATTGACTGAATTCGCTGGTTTATTAAACTCAGTGCTAAGTCATGTATTGCTGAATTGTTGTTACAGCTTCATATAAATCCCTATTCTTTGTAAAATATATTTTCTCAGGAGATTTCATATCTTCAACGGCTACCGAAATAACGTTTTACGCTGGTGTACAGTATTTTCGAGTCCAAGTCTTTCTTATACATCTAGCAGTAAACAAAACCTTCTTATAATCATCATCAACCGTCATTATTTTTATCCTTAGTACTTCTTCTCTTCATGATGATTATTGTTTATGCATTTTTGACAACTGACTAGGCTTGAAACATTAGTGAAGATTCGAGTACATGAAAGAGTATTCTTCATCTCTTTTAACCATGCTGCAAGGCGGTAAGTAGAGTTTTCAGTGTCTGAACAGTGTCAGATTGGATTAGAAGTCTCACTAGCCAAAACTATAGCTTTCTGGGCTATAGACTGATATTGCATTTTCAAGACAGACAAGCAAGATCTAACTGTAGCTATTCTCTTGAATTTGATTGGTTGTGATTCATCCTTTGATTGTCAGGAGCATTTCATGGTCTTACTGCGGTATGAACTGAATTAAATCTTAGCGTGAAAAGTGGAATTCATTACTGTATCCTCGTTGATACTTGTATATGCCTGACTGTATGGTTCTGTAGGGATTCAGAAAAGTCAAGACACGTCAACAACTGCTTTTGTTCGTTGTTTATGCATCTGTTAGCTGTAGTTTGTATGGTATGATTAACGAGTTCTGCTGAAAACTGTCAATCTTCTAACAAAACTAAGCACTCAGGTTTTGTTATACTGACTGTTGACTTCAAAGCTGAAATAGAGAGGCTGACCCATACGCAAACTGTCTTTGTCGACGAACAGATGAAAATGATATTCCTAGGTAATTTTGTCATTATGATCACTTATTCCAAACTAGCACCAACTTAAAACTTAAAGAAGAATACATCTGACTTGATAGTCAAAGAGAAATGAAGAGCATACCACTTCTATTTATCGCTGGAAAAGATGGATAAAATGTGGCCTTCTGGAGTATTTGCCTGAGTTACGTTCATAAGGCTGTCTAAGCACGCTTAAGTATGTGCTTTAGTGGGTGTAAGAGCCGTATGACTGGGAAGTTTTTTCATACTCAGTATGAAAATGTAAACAGTATATTTGTATTCAGGGAGAAAGTGAATAAACAGTTTTAGAAGTATGACAGCGATAAGTAACCGTATATTTTGTTGTCGTAATCGCTGTTTTGTAGAAACTGAATTACAGATATTTATAAACACGGGGAAAAAGATGTGTAAAAAATTTAAATCTCCTCAGTCGCTCCCTAAATCCTGATTCAGACAGGCTTATTCCAGCTGGCTTTTTGCAGGAGGAGAAGTGGAAGCAATTTAAAAAGCCATCTGCTAGTTCAAACATTGATAGTGAGCACGAATGAGTGACAAGACGAGAGTAAACATATCAGTACCAAGTAATGGGAGCAAGTTATTTAGAGTAACCTTGCGAAATTAATGGTATAAAGCAGTAATTAATGACAGTATCGCCGAAAAACCTAAGTAACTGGTAGACCCCAGAACAGGAGTCCGGAAAGTTGAAGAGAACACAGTGAACAGCTCATTTGATTTACATTATTTGATCACCAAAAAAACTTCAGTCTGAAAGGGAATTGATCATGAGACCTCAGATTTGACTGAATTTTAGAAGGTTGACATTGAATCAAAGTGCAGGAACGTAAGAATCTTACAACATACTTCAAAAAGTATTTTTCGATGTTTGTTAAAAATTCATGGTTAGATTCATTGACATACTATACGAGCCACTGGCAGTAGAAGCATTTCTCTCAGACTACTATAGGTCGTCAGTCATTCTATTTTATAAGGAATAGGAAGACTCTCTAGTGCGAACCACAGATTTGTTAACTTAGTGAATGAAAAATTTTAAACAGTTTATAGTCTGTAGCCATTTATAGTGAAACTTCAGTTCCGGAAATATGAGTCCATATAAACTTAACAGATCTAGGACCACGTAATTGTGCACTGGTCAGGTCTAAATCATTCATCGCTCTCTGGATTTCGATACTTACCAGGTTTACTGACATGATAATTGGATTTGATATGTTTGATTAGGAGATCCTTTTATAATATGTGGTCAATATGTGAGTGCTAGACAAGAAGACTTTGTAGCTAAACTCCTTTATGAACTAATGTTGTTGTGTAAGGGTTCAAGATAAGCAGTGACTTGAGATGGTGACAACTATTTGCATTCATGATGAATATTATTGTTATTTTTTTTCGCTTAGGTTCCTATTGGAACATAGGGCTTCACTAGCACGCCTCCATTGGACTCTGTTGTCTGCAGTCTTTTCAACCTGGTGCAACGACTACCCACAAGCTTTCATTTTTTCCTCACATGATCTACTCCATGTCACCCTCGGACGCCCAACTCGTCATTTCCCCTTTGCATTCGTCTCGAGGGCCTGGCGCTTCATGTCCCTAAAAAGCCTTCTCAGTGTATGCCCAATCCACCTCCACTTTCTTCTACATATTTATTGGGTGATATAGGTTCATGGTCACGATGAGTATAAGCTACCACTATTCTTTCTTGACATTATTCTGGATATTGGGATGCGGTCAACTCCTTTTTAGTCTTAATTCAAGTCATCTTAACGACCACACTCACACGCACACACTCGACAAGCTTTTAGTGATAACATAAAAGTTCAAAATCAGCTACAAATTCTGTTGGTTGTAGAATGATGTTTGTTTTTGGTGCTCAGAGTTATCCTTTGCTTGCATTTGTTCCCTATGCTTTATTTTATCTATGAAGTTAATTTAAGCAAATAGTAATGAATAATCAAATTTTCACTGAAATCACAAAATGAGAAATGAAAAGATTAAAAACATTTTTAGTAGTTTCATTTACATCAAAACATGCAGATTTTGTCGAAACTATGTAGGTATCTAGTACTAACGGGGAGCTTGAGATATTTTTTAACGTTGTAAGATAGCTAAAATACCCATCAGAGTATCAGAATAACTATGAGAAATGTGGTTTCCATTTCCAGGATTAGGTACAGTCTCATTACTTTTATTCATGTATACCACGGCATAAAAACCTTTTAAGCGCATACAACAACTAAGCTAATGGTTACCATCTGCTAGGTGGTTCAAGGGGAATAAGCTTCTTTGGCTTTTATCAGGGTGTATCATTTACTATGCAAGCAATATACCTATATAGTTATTATCACTGAAGTGTACTATGTGGCAATGTGCTCTGTCATACTTAATAACTATGGAACACGATCAAAGAAGGTAGGGAATTTGTGAAGGCCACAGGTATTTAGTTACAATTGTCCTGCTAATTTTGTTCATGTGTGGTGGATGAAACATGTTGGCGATGTGCAGTTTATTTACAGAGTACGAAACAAAAGTGACATATCAGTTAATGAATTTGCTAACCTTAATCAACTTAAGGGAATCAAATAAAAGCTAAAGGTCTCTAAATCAAAATATGGCACCAATATATGAAATCTATGATTGTTGTCTTAAGGCATTTTTTGTACTGTAGATTTCTTGGTTGGTGTAATGAAGGAAATTGAATTTAGCAATACGGCTAAAAATTCATCAAGGTGTTGGAAATGTATGCACACCTTATTTTTTCCTTCTTCCTGAACAACTCACTACCACACACTTTTCATACCACTTATTTCTTCACCTTCTAGTTTAATTTACTGCCATAAAAATAAATTCTAAAAAATTCCTACTTCTTTTCTTTCCTTAATTTTTCTTCACGATACTACTACTGATATTTGGCTAAGCCTAGTAGCATGTTGATATCCGTCTATTCAACAGAAAATAAAGTGGAAATGCCACATTTTTTTAATTTATCCACTTTAACTTGTTTCATGCAAACTGTTGACTTAAGTTTAATTACATAGTCTGCTTTTGTGGTCTGATTCTTAAAAATCCCTAATTTAGGTATCTTTAGCACAAAACTTTAAGTGTTAATCTCTAATACCTATACCCAAAATAATGTAAACAATAGTTATAATGTTAATGAATGGTGTAGTTTTCTATTACAGTTTGTGCAAGTCATTCTGTGGATTAGTATGTAAGCTATCAATGAAGTAGTTCAACAGATTATACTTTAAGTGAACTTCTAATTTGGCAAGATAGGAAAAGGTCATGTTTGATGATTCAATAATAATGTAAAACCTGGATGTTTGTTGTTCTAAACCTGATAAAACAGTAACTAAGATAGCGTCATTCCTGTTTAAAATTTGTTGTACGTAAACTTTAAACAAAAATACACGTCAATGAAATCTGTTTATCGATTTCATTACCAAGTACACAGTATACCTGTATCAGTGACATAAACCCACAATATTTTACTATTTTTGACCCAATGTTTACTTTGACCTTACCTTCCTAACCCAATAAAAACATAGACATTGAGGTCATAAAATAAATCTGTATATGCACAAAAGTTTAAACTACGAATACATTAGTCCAGTGAGAACAATAAATTTACTAGATAATTTCACTAAACGACAAGACTGAATAGCTGATAATAAGTGTTTTAGAGCAGTTTTATAGCTCACTATTCTATTTGTGGACTAATATATAATATTGTTAGAGTTGTTTTAGGATTACATATTAGATTTGTTTATTTATGACGCATAGTGATACAGTATTATTTACTTGATGACGAAACTTCGAGCATAAATCATTGCTCATAATAATATCAATGTATTCACACTACTTTCGACATTTGATTTTTATATTCCTATAACCTTATCTTACTTGTTTTTATTGGTAGTAAAATTTTCCATATCTATGGTATAGGTGTTACGTCATTCCCACTACATGTGTTTGGTTTTGATCCGATGAACAAAGATTCAGAAATTAATCTCTTTCCACCTAATTATATTGGACTTAAGTACAGTGGCTTTATCCCACCCTGCTGTGTGGTTGTATGTTAATGCATGGATTGCAAAAGCTGAGTTTTTTTCTAAATTACTGATCTTATTCGGTTCTATCATTCTATATTTAACTAAATTCCTATATTCGGCTATTCTATCTGACCCCAGCCGGCTAGTTTGACGTATGTACTTGACTTCGCAGTCATTATATGAAATTTGATGGATTAGATTATTTTGCTTAATTGGTTCTACAGGATCCTTAAGCCAACAAAGCTTATCTCTGAGTGAGTTTGTAGGTGTGAATGCCACCCTGACTCCAGCTCTGTTGAGCATTCTGCGTAAAGTTTCTGAGGTACCCTCCTTATAGAATAATACAATTGAGGCTGTAAACTCCTTTTTTCTCTTGTTGTCGTTATTAGTCGCACTTGTGTGACTGTTATTTTTTTTGTTCGTGCGTAAGAATTTCGTAATAAACTGCGGAGGATAATTATTAACTACTAGCGCCTCTTTTATATGCTTTAGTTTCGTGCATTGACTAGCCAGTTTTCTAGCCCTGTTACTTAGACATCTGACTAAGCCTGCCTTAACTGACATTGGATGAGATGACTAGAGGTCTAGATACCTGCTGGAATGTGTCGAGTTTCTGTAGACTGTAGTATCTTAACCACAGTCTGTCCTTCCCTTTATCCTGTAATCCAACATTGGCAATTCTCCTTGTTCATTTTCTACCTCGTAAGTGAATTGGATTGCACCTATTACTGATTTTATGTGCGAGGAAATTGTGGATATGCTCTGATTTTAACATACCAAATGTCATCCAAATATCTCCACCTTATCTTAGGTGAAGGATTAAACGTTTGTAAAGCCATGTTTTCCCAACTATTCACAAATATGTCTGCACGATTGGGGGTATTGACGATCCTATCGCTACTCCTTCTGTTTGTCTGGGTTCTTTGTCCTGAAACTTGAAGACTGTGGAGGTCAGGCACAACTGTATGCCTAGTGTGATCTCATCTACCGATATTTGAGTTCTATGAGTAATTTCTGAGTCAATATTTAGTTGATTTCTGACTGCTTTCAGTGTCATATTGATCGATATTTTAGTATAAAAACTTGTTATATGAAAACTAAGCACTTTTTTATCCTCTTCTATATGCAGGTCATTAAGCTTTAGTTTTAACTTGTAAGAGTTTACTAGTCTGAAATTTGAACGGTTGCTAGTAGGATACAATATCGATGTTAAGTATTTTTCTAGTTCATATGTTGGGGGTATTTCTTAAGTCAACTATGGGTCTAATGGGATAACGTCACCAACTAAATAATACTGTATCACTGTGCGTTATAAATCAAGTAAACAAGTGTAGTATGGAATTAAATTCTACCACACTGCCCATGTTTTACACTGATGTTAATTGCTGTAGGATTAATTAATACATAAGACATAAAAGTTTACCATCATATATAAAACAACGACTTTTCTACATAGTGCCAATCAGTACAACTTCGAATAAGTTTGTCACCTGTCATTAAAGGATCCTTTTTCCTGAAAACCTTTTCCCAATCTTTAAGTTAACTTCTCGTAGGAGAAAGTTTGCCTTAATTTCAGAAAATGTCATTATCAAATTGTGCATGAAGAGGTTAGAGATTTGTAAGTTGCAGCGACTTTTATATCAGTAAGTTGTTGAGATTGGCTTATATTCTAAAGGGTTTATAATTACTCCTCACGTGAAATTATTCATATTTGATACGTTAACAGTTCGATAAAAACTGATACTAACTTCCAGAGTCAGGCTAATGACCAAGTTGACATGTTCACATTCGTGAAGAAATATTGTCTAATTATTACGAAGGTCAAACTTTCATGCTATCTAATAACTACATCCATGTAAAATGTAACCGAATAGCAAGCGTGATCTGAATTTATAATTTATGGGAGCAGTTTAATAAGATAAACGTGTTTTGTTAGCTTCGGACAAAATACACTTATTTCTTAGTTCTGTCTCTGTTCCACTATTCTCTAACCGGAATATGAATGAGTTCCTCAAACTGCTTTAGTCTGATCGACTGCATGACCAACTACTAAAAAATGTCCTGATTCTAAATCATATAGTCACTTTACTGTGTTAGCGGTGTCCTGTTGACTCTCAACCGAAATGTGCCGTCAGATTGTTTGTGTTATTTTCACGAAAAAATTGTATGTCAGTTTTTCTGATTATTACAAGAACTTAAGGTGATACCAGTCTGTTTTTAAATATTCTACTCAAGAATTTTAGACTCATATACATGACTTCCTGGAAAGATCAGATACGAACTGAGTAAACGATTGTATTCATTTCAGTTACAACTTCGGATGTTCAAAGACACATCTAGACAAAAAGAATGCAAACGGAAACTAAGTGTTGCTAACCTATATTACTTATCTTTCTTGATAAAAAAAATCCTACTATGGTTAGTTACTACATGGATTCTGTTAATTTATTACCATCAAACTTATCTGAGTCTATAAAACTATAACAGCCATTTGTAATCATTAGTTGTTTTTCAAGAAGAACTTTACAGTGTAAATTTATTGTCAGAGCTTCTTACAAGAATGCATATAAGTAGTATCTACAGCAACATCGAAAGTGTTAATGGTTGACTCGTGACTAACAGTGTATATAGAATAGACAATACTGGATAGAAATATAAAGATCATGAACGGTGCAGGTGACCCAGAACAACAGATTATTTGTAGATAAATACCATACCATAGCAAATACTGGTCATAGAAATACAACATTTTGGAATTAGTGAAAGCGACTTTTAAAACCATACCATTTGTAGTACAATTGCTTGTATATCGTTTTCTTAAGTAGGTGATAATTTATGAAAATATTAATTTCAAAAGTGAAAATTCATCCGAAGAATGATTAGGATCACTTACAGATATACCATTAATAAATTGTACCATACTTCTGATATTAAAAAATGAGTTTTTTATTATTGAAGTTGAATGTCATTGTAAATTAGTTCCAGACGTTGATGCCGAGATATACGTGTAGAAGTGCCTTCATAATTTAAATCTTCTATAAGATAGTAACTTTACTGATATGTAGTAGGCAGTTTAAGTATTTGCGAGGCGCAAATGATGCCTAAATATATCCTGAAATCCAAGTAATTACAGTCAAATATTTAATTTGTCGACAGATTTTGATGAAAATCAGGGAGCATTGAATAGCTATTTGATCTTAGTGTCAGAATTTTATAGAGTACTGATTATCATTTTTATGTGGGATTCAGCCGAGGACCTAACGTATCCAATTAACTAGAGTTAAAATTCATTACGATAAAATAAATTATGCAGATGGAATAGCCGGTTTTAACTGTTCACCATATACATTATCTAAGTAATTTACTACATAAATGTATGTAGACCGTCAAATGCTAGTGAATGTGATTCGGCGTAGAAAAGAATATTTTTTAATATCTTCGTTCTTTAATCGAACGTAAATTATCTAAAAATTTTACACAACTATTCAGTTGAAAAATGAAGAAATAAAACATATGGTTACACCTACAGTGTTTCAGTCTGGAATTCGTATTGTGCACGAGGGTGATCAGGACCTTGAATGATCAAAAGAAAGGAGAATGCATTGAGTGCAATATCTGGGCTATTTGACATATCTGAGGAAAATTTTCGTGTTTTCTGGTGGTTCGGGTTGCTCAATTCATTAGAAGCTTGTTTTGGAAGGCTTAAGGTTCTCACAAAAGTTGCATGTCCCAACTGAGAATTCAATTCAGGGCTTCCAGGTCGACAAAAGTGATGTACAAAGCAATTGGGTGGTGTGTTTTTACTTCCACATGGATATAATCCAGAGAACAACTGTCTTCAACCATTAAATGTTGATTACTTGGATCAAGAAAAGATGAGCACGGGATTAAGCATCCAGAATAAGACACTAAACTACATGAAAAAGATTTATAATCAATAAATTTGCAGATAAAAACTATGGAACCGAAATCATATCGGTCATTTATTAACATTTTACTAAGTTAAAAGAAAACAAAATGTGACATTTCTATGGAATTCGACTCTATGAGGATCTTTAGTTAAAGTGGGAATAATAGCTACATCGAACTTCATTTCTGTTACTAATTGAATGTTTTTAGATTTCTGAAATAGTTACAGCCGAATCAATAAGACTTTTAGATTTGTGAACAATATTTTAAACTTTCAAAATAAGCATTTTACTCCAGTAGGAAAGTTTTCCATTTAAGTCACCTGGTTGTTGCTAACTTGACAACCGATGGTTTAAAGTATGCCATTTCCTAAAAATTTCGTAATTTTCTATGTGTGTTAATGAATTTCAGTTAAACGTTATACCGTTTATACCGATTATCGTTTTTAACGCATTTTTGCCTAGTAATCACATAAATATGTGTAAATTATGTGCAGTTAATTAATAGAATCCGATATTTTTAACTACGAATTTTGCTTATGCATGCTATGTGCGCGTTGTGAAACGTAACCATATTGTTTTTCTACAAAATTAAAGGGAGAACAAAAACACTGAATAGTAGGTCAAATTCATAAAAGTAAAGATTTTACCTAAGGGAAATGAAAAGTTATATAACCGAACCAACGATACGGTTTGCAGATAACTGAATGATACTCGTCTGGAGAGCATATTACCAGTAGTTAATTTTAAACTTAAAAATGTTATCGCATTCATTTGAATCAAAGTGATGCTTCTACTTACACAATGAAACGAAACAGTTTTAGGTACATTACATTCATAATCGTCAACAATGCGCCACAGTTTTCTTCTAATAATAATCTCCAGCCAAATAATCATCCATGTCAGTAGGAAACATGTCACTCAAAGTAACACTTGAATAAACATTTTTCAGAGAAGTTATTCGTTAATGCACTTCTGCAACACCTTATATTAGGACAACTATGGATTATTTCTACCAGTATCTTATATGTCAACGACTGATTGTTTTTAGCAAATAATCAGGGTAGTTGATAGGAAAACTCATCCAACTAGATGTTTCTGATCATATATTTTCTCATACAAAATTCTCACTGGAGATGAATTCGCAGTTTATTTTCATACTCTCATCATCTAAATGTCTTGTGTACTGTAATCGAATACAGATGACAGATTTTTCTCGGCATGCATTCACTAATTTTTGTCTTTATTCTGATGGGATTATCAAAGGTGATTCATTGGTATTTATAATCACATTCAATAATGCAGTTCAACTGACTAAGTTAATAAAAACTGATTTAAAAAAGTGAAGACGTCAAAAATAAATGAATACCTTCGTTTCTTAGTGATCAGTAAATAATCACTGAATAGAAATAAAGTTGCTATCGTCGCTTTCGGTTTACGTATACTGCTGAACCGACGATAAAATCCGCTACCATGTACATTGCTCATTGTTAAAATGCGTAGGTCACCTTCTTTTACGAGCGTTCGACTTTCAGTAGCCAAAGACTATTGTAATATGCACATTGGTATATGAAAAAGAAACAGAAACAGACATCAGGTAAAGAATATATACATTATAATAGTAAATATAACTATAATGACTGTGGTGTTTTTTGAATAATCGTAAGTGCATGGAAATACGTTCATCATTTACGAAAAGTGATTTCTTTCCACGATACATATCCTGCTAAGGAAAAATTAGAAAATTGAAACATTCAAAACCTATTGATTTGAATGAAAAGAATATGAGAACCGACTTAGACTCCAAAGACTTTTTATTGACCCGTTAGCTACCGATGGATATATACTTTGCTTTACTACGATTACCATTGTACAGCTCTTGAAAATGATTCATTGAAAAGAAAAATTTTTTCGCTAAAAGGTTTTTCTAGTTCTAGATATATTGAACTCCATATCACTCAACAGCAAAATGTTTAGTACAAGTATTAGAGCCTCTAGACCGCTAATTGGTGAGATGTAGTGTAAAAGAAGTATTCAAATTTGTAGAACATAGCGGAAATATGAATGTTAAAGCCAAGAGGATGACTTCATCAAATGTAACATCATTATTCACAGATGTCCTACCTATGGAAACAGTCAACATTTCTGATAAGTTAACTGAAAAACCGATACTCGACTGAGAGTTAAGGAATCCTGCTCAAATGCAGCATGAATGTTCACTTTAAGCTTCATAATAAATTCTATAGACAAGTAGATGAGGTTGTAGTTGGCTCTCCTCTATGCTAGCGGATATCTTCCTTACCAAATTTGAACACGGCTCACCTAGGAACACACTTGATAAAATAGACTATTAATGCCAGTGTGCAGATGATACGTCCACTATTCGCAACAATTACTCCAACAATATATATATGAGAATATTCTATACTTTGGTTAACGAAAAGAAATTACCTTTGCATCATATTTGTATTCCAACTTTCGACACAGGTCTACAAGACGCTCTTTTTGTTCCATGTGAGCTTTTCTGAATCACATTTACCTATAAGCTGTAAGTGAAAATGATAAAAAGTATAAATAATAAGCAACAACTTAGTATTCTAGATGTCTTCAGTAAGGATAAAATACAAGTCGCTTGATATGCGTTTAGCCGATGTTCTTCTGAATTATTCGATTTTTTTTAAAAGTCAGCCCTGGGGCACCACATCGCGACGGGTGAATATTTGGTCGACACGCTCATGGCCAGGTCTGAAGCCTGCCTGGTTTTCTCGGGCTTGTTGTCTCAGAAATCCACTCAGACATCCAATGGTTATAGGACCTAGAATCCTAGACACTATATTCATTCAACTTATTCCCCTGTATTTGTCACAAAAAGATCCCTCACATTTTTCTAAGGTAACTGTCCTTAAATACCGTCCGTATTAGCACACCTGATCCTGCTACCCTTCATCATTTCAGATTACTTACAACCTCCTAAAATTTGTGAAAAGTTAGAGGACCTATCGAAATTTTCCGTTCAGGATGTGACTGGATAGTATGGAGTGAAATAGTGGATGAAAGCCAGTTGAACTATTCCTCGAAGTATTTTGTCCATAGTTTTAGTCATCCCCTCTATGAGGGAATCGCAGACTCATCCTTCTCCGCTATAGTCTGACTAACCATTAACCTTTACGCTCCAGTTTCGTTGGTAAGTCTAGATAACTGTCTACCGTTGCTCATCGCTGCTGTCTTTTCCATCTCATTGGCTTTTTCCACCCACCAGTGTTTATGATCACTGTGTAGACTTCTTGTCGGTCTACATTTTACTTGCTACTGCTTCTCCTTGTGTTTGGAACCTATGTAAATGCGTTTGCATACATCCAACAATTCACAAGAAGCTGCTGAGATCCACTACCCACTTTTTCCACTTCCTGAAAACCAGCTAAGGCGTCCAGCACTTTCTTCACAGTACATGAAGTGACATTAAGCTTCTTCAGGATGAGTGATGTTGTTCTGTTCCGATAACTGTCTAGCCAGTCTCTCGCCAAATGCATCTTTAGTGTTTTCACTGTAGAGCTGCACCTGAAATGGTTGCTGGAGTTTTCCTGCGTTCACTTAGACACAGATATAGAGCCATCCTCGAATCAGCGCGTAGTGGCTTTCCAAATACGTGCTCTAGAAGGCATGACAGTCTCCAGCGTAAACTGTTGCAACGTGATCTATTTGTATCCACTTCTGAGTTGAGGTCTGTGGACACCATGTCAGATACTGTCTGTCTTTATGCCTGAATTTTGTGCTGACTAGAAATAAATGGTTACCTGAGAACAGCCGTAATATGCGATCACCGTTACCTCTCTGTCAACACAAGTACCTTTCTTTCTAACAGCCTACTTATTTTCACCTTGAAGCCACCTGCTGCAGAAATTGTGTCCGAATGTTTGGTTTTCACTAGTAGGCTAGGCAGTTTTCGGTAGAACTCACCCTTTACTTCATCTAGTCTGCAGCCAGTGGGTGAGTAAGTAAAGATTACAAAGAAACAATGGCAAGCTTCACTATGCTTTTTAATTCTGACTGTGCCATTCAGTCAAACTGCGCTTAGGCCACCGTCACTTAGTATCCAGTCGAGCAGCACACTCTTTGTCTCAGCACTAAGTGCCATACCTACACTTGCAAGTTCGCGAGAAGTATCTATCGAATTTCCAGAAACTGATACGCTGAGTTTTGTAAATTCAGCTTATTAATCGGGTGAGGTTAGATAAATAATTGTGCTTAATTCCTGTAAGGCGTGTCTTAAAAATTTAAAACACGTTCACCGTTCGAGATGTCAGAGTTTTAAATAAGAGAGCTTGATTTCTGATTTCATGGGACGTTCGGATACTGAAAGCTCCAACATGCAGTTGCAAGTGAGGTTTCAGGAAACCGAAAATGCTGTTCCATAAAGTCAAAGAGTTATTTAGCACTATAAAGGTGTAACGAATTAAAGATAATGTGGAAATATTGACCAAGATTAGAAAGTAAAGGTGTGGGAGGTCGATAACAACCCAAAGGAACTTGAGAGCTGACAGTGTTGTGAAGGAGTTAGACAAATTATGGCTGCTCACATCTTGGAAATTTACTCCTTCTTCATGTAGATGAAAGAAATATTGTATTATTTCATACTGATGCGGAACGTGAGAGCCAGAGGAACATTTGCTTGAGACTGGTAACAGATGACCTCCTGGGAAGCTTATGATGACTTTAATTGTTGTAATTTCGGCTTGAAAAGGATACCATCGACATCCGAATATAGCGGGGTAGGGACGAGTGGGTTATCTTTGTGACCGACCTTTCCTAACAGTCACTCTCTTGTATGACAGCATTAACGTGGTAGTCCTGGTCATCTGAGGGAAAAACTCTAATACTGTCACAAACCCATTAAGTCAGCAGTACTTCTTGATCGTCAAACTCCCGTCACAGTGTAGCAATTTATACTATGGCGGTAACTGCTTTTTCTTTTACCACTATACAACAGACTATTCTGATACGTTAAGACCCCGAGGGAACAAGTATTTTTCCAAAACTGCTAATTGGGTCATTTTGATATGCAAATTGACTGCCACGTCAAGTTAGCAGTTATCGGTCGGCGACTATACATCAAATAAATAACAGAACCATACTGTTATATACACAATAACCTGTACTGAGTACCTTATTATTATTACTATTATTATTTCTCCCTTGGGTTCCTAGTGGAATGTAGGGCTTCAGTAGCACGTCTCCATTGCACTCTCTTTTCTGCAGTCTTTTCAGCCTGCCTCCACCACTGCCCATAACCTTTCATTTCTTCCTCACATGATCTTAATGTCACCCTCGGAATCCCAATATGTGGCTTCCCCTTTGGATTCCACTCGAGGAACTGATCTGGCGCGTGATATCTCCGAATGATTTTTTCAGTGTATGCCCAATCCATCTGCACTTTCTTCTGCATATTTGTTGACAGATGGGTTCTTGATTGGTTCGTTCCCAGAGTTCCTTGTTGCTTATTCTTAATATTCTGGCCATCTGATCTCCATCTTCAGTGTCAGTATCGAGTGGGCGTCGACAGCAGCTGTTGATGTATATCTGTAGTTTATTCGAAATGCTTTGCGTAAGGCGCCAAGTCTCTCAACCATCACATAGAAGCACTGACTTTACGTTAGTGTTGAAAATCCGCATCTCGTTCACGCTTTATGCTGAGTGGAGTGCAGTGCAGTAGATTTGCACACTGATTTCAGATTAATGAAGGCCTATCTTGATGTCTTTTCGATCCTGACACTGACGTCCTCATCTGTGCCGCTGCCTGCAGTTGAAACGATACTGCCTAGGTAGATGAAATAGACCACTTCACTTAGGTTTCTCCCGTTCACAGTGGTTGGTGCTTGTTGTTGATGTTATCGGTTAAGTGTCTTCATCAGCTCTGCCCTCTCTTCATACACCTGAAGGGAGTGCCGTCTTTGCTGCCTCGTCCCTTCTGTCAACTTGTTACTTTTCGTCTGTAGATCTTCGAGTTTGTGCGACAATACAGTAGACATAAATCATCATCGGTGGCGAAATCTAAATCTTCTTCTGGGGTATTTCCCTCTGTCCAGCCAGCATATGCCCATCTTCTTGCTCCTCACAGTTGTCTGTTGCATGATCCAGGTCAGTGCAGTTGACCACAATCAGGAGGATCATAGGTGATAGTAGGTGGCAACCTTGTCTTACTCCTTCCTGTCTTCACTTCAAAGACATCACTGAGCTGAACTTTCCATTGTGGCATTGGCCATTGGCATGTGGCGTTGTCATATAGCAGTTGAATGAGGTCGATAAGTGTTTGTGACACTGAAAGCGTATTGTTGAAGCAGCAGCTGACAAATTACTTCTCGGTTGACGCTGTCAAAGGCCTTTTGGAAATCGGTGAATTTGAGGTAGAGAGTTGACTGCCATTCTACGCTCTGTTCTATGATGATGCGTAGCCTAGCCTTGCAATTTGATCCGCACACAATTCGTTCTTCCTGAAGCCAACCAACCTGTTCCGGTCGTATTTTGAATGCAGAGCATCCTTCAAACTCTCCAGGACGATGTGGCATAATATTTGACTTGCTTTGGGTGGACGAGAGCATGATTCCTCTCCAGTTCTTGCAGAGAATTAGGTCTCCCTCACTTCCTCCACATTGAGATAAAGTCGATCTGATTTTTAGTGTGTCCTAGTGTCTGGTGAAATCCATGTCGCTCGCATTGTGAATATCCTTGTATTTGTACACACTAACTCCAATCACCAAATCGTTGAATGCGAAGAAATCTGCTAACAGCTGTCCGTTCTCATTCATTTCACCCAGTGCTTCTTGACCCATGATCAGTTCTCTTCTTGTGTTGTCTCCTCCGAGTTTGACATTCATGTCGCCCATTTAAAATCGTGATATCTCCAACTGGGGTGGGGTCTTGTCCTGTACTGATTGCAGTTGTCTGTAGAACTCCTCCTTCTTCTCTTCATCTGCATTATTTGTAGGTGCATAGAGTAGCACTGTATGATTGTGACTTTCCTTCCTTTTGATGAGTTGAACCTTGCTGTCATGATCCTGATCGTGGAGGAGATTGGTTCCCACTGCAGGAGGGCCTTCAATGCTGTTGAGAACAACATGATATCCACTCTAAATTTCAGTGTGCTTGTGGCTGTCGTCTGGATGAGAATATCGGAGTAGATTATTGACTCCTCTCCAGTTGACAGTTTGGCGAGTCCACTTCTATTACATCTGCAGATTCCTCTCAGATTCCCAGCCTAGCACCTCTGTGCTATAACTTCTCATCTCTTTTGCAATCTGAGCAGTCTTGCTAGCTTCAAGCATGCTGCGGATATTCTACGTCCCCATTCTTATTTTAGGTTTCATCGTGGGAGAGAAGACACATCAGACAATTGTCTTCCCGAATGCTTTCACCAACCGACGTCACTTCGTCTCTAGGGTTCCAGCGAGGAATAATTTTGTTTTTATTTTTTTATATTTTCCTTGTGCTTTGAAGTTTGTTTTGCGATTGGATTGGTTTTCCGGGGTAGTGTTGCTAGCCCGACGCCCAACCTTTCCTCTTTACCCAGGCTTAGGACCGGCTATTAACTAGTAACTAGTAAACTAGTTAACCAGGTGAGGTACTTAATACCTTATAGGAATATATATTTGATTCTAATGAGAATACTTAGCGTATTGTTGGTAAATTTCACTTTTGGTGAGGAAGCCAAATTTATGCCAATATTGCTCATACCTGCTACGTTAAACAAACCATGCTCTATACTATATCAAACAGTGGACAACATTAGTTGAACTATGCTTCAGTGAATACTGAGACCACCACAAATGCCGGCAGAAATGTAGTCTAATGGCATTTTTGAATTACATGAATCATGCTATCTTAAGTCAACCACTCTTCTAGGAATTATATAGATGCGTTCGTTTTAAACTTAGCTACAGACAGCAATGAATGACTTTTCTTTAATTTCAAGGGATGATAAAGTAAAGAATACATTAACACATAATGCCTACTTTTCTAGTCAAAGTTATTACGAGAAAAAGTTGACATTACTGAAGTATTAATCACTTTGTTATTTATTTCAAAGATATTATTATTTATAACCAACCTGACGGTTGAATAAGAGTAAAAGCATTAGGGTGTAAAAACAAGTTGAGTAATAAGGAATGAGTAGTGTGAACCCATATCAATTTGAAAGCTGAAAATATAGCTGACTTATCAATCTGATAAGAATTTCATTTTTATTGCGTAGCTGTTATAGGTATGCTGGTAATGAGTAGTAAACACAGTAGCTCCAGATTTGGTCAACTAGTCCTTCAACCACTTAATTTGGTGTACCCATTACAAAACTAATAGACTGTGTATGGTTAACAGAAGATTTTGTCGGTTATTTTCGAGACGGTATGTTTCGTCAGTTGAGGTACTCAATGGAACCGTTGCTGTTTCAAAATGGATATATGTCTTCCAGTAAATCTTGAGTTAAGATAATTTTCTAGTAGAAAATATTAACTGAGTCTTCGGAATCTGCAAAGATAAGTGAAATTCTGTCATGTTTTACGTGACACTATCTTACAGTTTCTGACAGTTTCTATAAGAAATGTACTGTTTCTCGGTAGGTTCATTTTTACTTCTGGATTAAAATCCGTGAACTAACAAATTTCTAGCTTTTTTATCGTCAAAATAGAATTTAGGAATATTTATAGATATTCAATTCAAAAAGTAACAATGTTTTGCTATCGTCAGTTTATGGCAAATCACATAAAAGTAAGTATATTCCTTTGTAAAAAAAAATGGTTGTTGAATATTTATTGTAGCGAACCATTCTAAGAATTGTCAGATCATGTTCAAATATACGAGTATTCTTAACAAAATATTTAGTTGACGTATATCAGTTTACGCAAAATATGAAAGAATTCACTTCTAAACAGTACTTCAAACAACTTTCGAAGAAATCAGTCTTGCATGATTTCAGTTTTTATGTTCAAAAACACATGCGTTCTTAGCATTTTAGTGATCAGTTATATAGCCTGAGTGGAATGAATGTTAAGAAGGTCAAACATGTGTATTTGACCCACTAAAATGATACCACCTTAGGTCAAATAACAGAATTCAGCAGATTGACTTGAACCGTTAACTGGAAATTAGGCTCCGATATATGCACATTCATTTTACTACAGGCTTTACCTAGAGTTTAGTGGGTCATTCATTGATTGCTTACCATACATTTTGTCCCCCACAAAATTGTACATCCGCATTCGTTCAAAAGTTTACTAGTGTTACTGAGGAAAATAGTAACTCTGATATTAACTTACTCTTTCTAAAGAAGCAAGGGCTACCAAGCCACCTTGGTAAGTAACACTGTTTTTGGGTGCATAATGTAGTATAGCAACCAGTAAAAGGCGTAAGCGTGTTACACGCTGCATTGGAAGTAACAGGAATGAATTCAGGTCCAAGAATCCACAACTTGGTTGCTGCTGTATTGAACGAACTGCTTCTACGAAAGCAGGAGATGATCTAAAACAGAAGTATATGGCGTTATTGAACAGATTGTAGTGTTAGGGTTATAAAATGTATGAAACACTGAACTTGCATCACAAAAATGAACCAGAGTTTTCGCAAGTAGATTTCATCTATGACCACACTTTTGTCAACACAAGATCTACTGAGATTTTCGAAAGAATATAGGATTACAATTTCTTTCAGATGGTAATAAATTTAACCTTAATACCTGAAGGTATTTTTCCTGAAGTGTAGGCGGATGTAGTGACTGTAATACTGCCCTTGTTCAGTTATTTGAAAAACAGAATATGGAAAGTATTCATTTTGCAAGTATAACCAATATTTTTCCTTTGTTGCTTGTGCTGTCATACACACGTAGGTTGTTCCATTTGTCAATTACATTTCCATAAGCTTATGACTATTTAATAAGCTTTTGTTAAAACCACTTTTTTGATAAAAGGTTTATTTATTCTTTGCTGAACTGTAAGCGCCGAAATTTTATTTTCTTAGAAAATTTACACCAGTTTGTAGTAAAACAAATTACTTGGAGATTTCATATCTTTTTTGTTATTCTAAGGCTGTTTTAATTTTGACAGCATTTACCTTCATATTTGAATTGAGAAATTCAGGATGATCCTAAAATGATTCACGAGGTAATCCTTCTAGAAATAAACCAGAAGCTGAAGAATTAGTGAGTTTGTGTAAGTTGTTACCTTTCGAAATAACTTTATTAGTTGATAATTATCTATTCGTTTGCATTCAATGCTTGATTTATAAGTCATGTTCATAAAGTGACCTTGATCATAGAGTTGCTTGAGATTTTGAATACAGTCAAATCCTTTGATAGATTATTTGTTAGGAGCTTAAAATCATTATCTAGATCTCTATCGGAATCAAGAAATGCCGTATCATATTACTGATAAATTTATGTATTCTTTATAATCAGTTGTCTTAATATCTTGTATGGTAGCCAATTACCTGTTGGAAAAGCTTGTAACACTGATATAATGGTCAATGCAAAAGCTGGAATACAGCATTCAGAAATGTTTCTGAAGTGGAATATAATCATATAATGAAAGTGGTGCATCTGATAATTCCACATTAGTTATAGCTTATAGTCGAGTATATATACTGGGTTGATGATTTGGGCTGCAAGTGATAGTTAAACTATCATAAAACGTGAACAGTTCACTAACACGCTTTACTAACCGTTTTACAATAGGTCGATAAAGTTTTCGTGACTCGGATGCATAAAATTTACCTACCACAACAATTAACACACACATCTAAGGTTTCTCTTACACAGGTCACGGCTACTTAGGTGTTGTAAACACCCTCCCATCTGCATGTCAAGATTTTCTAGTGGTTCGCATTTATCATCCTTGCCAAAAAATGTTATTTCGATTTCTTCACGGAATGCGTTATTGTTTGGGTAATATTTGATTTGTATTACATCAAGGTGGAAGTATATTAACCGGGACTATTGCTGGTATTAACCAATTAGGTGAAACAGCATCTAAAATGCAGTCTTAACAGAAAGTCCTTATGCAAAGTTCAAGAGATACAGCTTCGTTTAAAAGAATGATATTATTTTCGCACGTTTATTTTTTCATCGGAAAATTTTTAATATGTCATTCTTTACTGGTTGTTACTTTCAATGCAACAAAAGTTCATTATGACAAAATTCAAAATAGTAATGACTCACAGAAGCTTGGACAAAGTTCTCAGTTGATACATTTGGTTTTGTACATATTTCACATAATTTTCGAAATGAAACTCAGCATGCTCATAAATAATTTCGCAAAGTTGGGGTATCATTGGATTTTGAAGGAAATATAACTCCATATCTCGAAGAAATCTAAATAGTTGAAGTATGAAGAATGTCCAAAGAGAAAATGTTAGTTTCAAGTCAATGACAAACTCAAAAAAGGAAGACAGACGTGTGAGTTGTGTGTTATAGCTCTACAATCACTTAAAAAAATCTTTTTGATTATTATGTCCAGCCGGATGTAAGATAAGTATGCTTTAAAATTAGACAAAGCCTGCATGGATAACAAATAGCTTTGTTACTGAGTTCTGTTTCATACATCATTTATACTAATTCCAAACCTAACTGAACAAAAATAATGCTAGAGTTCAAAATAGGATACTGTTGAAACAACAACCTAAGAGGTTAATTTTTATAACAAGAATAAGTCCTAAAAAACACTGAAGCTAATCTGTACTCACTAGAAAACAATCTTGTGAAATTTTAATTTTGATAGGTATTGGGTTAACTGGAAACCAATGGTCATCAGCCGCAAAGGTAGAAGTTTTGGATTTTAACCTTGTTTCATAGCGCTCTGTGGGTAGAAAAAACCTTACTTTGTTCTACAGCTGACCAATCAAAATAAGTATTCAACTTCTGACCTAGTGGTTTTATATCAAAGACCAATGTATGTATTCAAATTGTTTTTGTCAAATAAAGTGTCTTCCTTACAGTCACTAATCACTTTTTGTCATCTGATTTTTGTGGTTGAGTAAAAATAAGGTTCTGTGGGAGAACAGTAGCCATTCGTATGCAGTACAGCGTCTAATTACGCGATTATATTTCGTATTATTCTGTCAGTCATTTCCAATCCGTCATTTCATCACTGTGTATGTGAATCACAAAAGAAATCTTTGAAGATATGAAAGTGAATACATGAGGTTTTAATATGGTTATTTTAGAACTGAATCTCTTCTGACTTAGTTTTCTAAAGATAAACAATCGTTAATCAATAGTTCATGAAATGCTAACCAGACACTAAAGAATGTTACATGAGCATAAAATAATATCCTCGTGAGGATATCAGGAATAGTGTGGAAACCAGCCAACAAGAGATGCAAGCCTATGATACTTTGAAGATAGAGGCATAATTTGCCATACTTTTGTTACTTTGTAGTATACCTCTGGATAGGTAAAGGGTGAAATAGAATCCTAACATGAACAAAGCAAGAAGAACGTTAGTAGCAGAATAATTGTACATGTATTTCCTGTATTCTCCTCAGCTGCTCTACAACCTGTGATATATAACGTTTATGATGAAAAACGCAAGATGCACAACATACTTTCGCTAACTGAAAACAATGTTTTTACAAGTTAAAGTTGTAGGCTGACCACATTTGGTGAAGTTGTAGAGATTAATCAAAGGTTAACTGTTGATACAATGATAGAATGAATATTCTGATGAAGATACAAGAGAAGTGAGGGAGTTTCACACATTTTTCTAGAATGGGTAAATGATGACATTATGACTAAGTAAGATTAATAAAAGGCTAACAAATTTCCATCTTACTGAGTACTAAGATGAACACAACTCAGAAAGTGATAGTTTGTTTTCAAATAGGTTGAAAAAGAAAATAGGAAAACCAGAGGGTCAGGAGGTGATGAAATAATGACGAGTATGAATTTCTTTTCAGATAGTTAATAATTCAAATCTCTAGTCCTGAGCCTTTGTTCTGACCTCCTACGCAACACGATGTTTTTGAATTTCAAAAAAATGCTTTGTTGATAGGCAATGAAAACTTAGATATACGACTTCAAGTTGACTATCTAATTTTAATGTCGAAAACAGATGTGCATATCATTTGGTGAATCAGTGGGCTCAAAGTGCTCTGTTGATAGAGTAATTCAAAACTGTTGGCAAAATATTTTGATACTTGTAATTTCCCGTTGCTATACAGAGCCAAAATACTCACCCTCTGTTAATAGATGGGCTCCTATGCAGATGCCTTGATACTGCCGGATAATTGTGAAATGAAATATACCTTGGTGTCTAGCAGTGGGGTCGAGAACGTGCATTTCCTCCTATCTGGGACTCGTCAGCTAGGTGAAATGGGTACTGGGTTCGAGTCTCACAAGGAAATTACATCACTCACTGGGATGCAAGTCCATCAATCTGACAAGTCCCAAATAAGAAGAAACGCGCGTTCTAGATTCCACTGCTAGTCACCAAGATGAATTGTTTTCAAGATGTATGACAACAAAATTATCAGTAATGTCTCTAAAAATCAAAAAACTCACATAGACTTAGAACTTATGTCCAGAGATATCACTGTTCGTCTGTCGAACTTAAAATATCACTCCTTACTAGCAATGTTTGATCTACATTTCTTGGGTCTTTACAAAGTTGTTACCGAAGACCAAAAAATTACTACTGTATGAAATGTCCACTAATTTGGCTTACAGTATCCAGTTCTTTATGCTAGAACACTTCTTCATTTCAGAGTTCACATCGATATGAAAGAAAATATCTGTAAATAAAAGTGCTTGAATTCATACTGGCAGATAAAGTTTTCCTACTGGATATATTTTACAGGTAAACATAGACTGTTTTGTTTGGTAGGGCTGTGAATAAAGAGATCCATCCTTGTTGTACAAAAAATAACATCTAGTCGCTTGTTATTTAAATTTCACAGCTCAATCTTAATTCAATAATAGTATGAAGCAGCGTTCGTTGGATGTTCATGACTTCAAAATGGCGGCGTTTTGTGAGAACACTCTTTAGAAAACTTTTAGCCAGTACTTAAATGGAATAAGTGAGTATTTCTTATCAACAAATATTGTCAACAACGGGTAATATTTTTGAAGGTTTTCACATGTGGATCGAAGAAAAATATTTCTGAACCTATAAATCTTTAGCCACAAACTGTATGATCTGGTCAGTGATCACTCACAGTTATTATTATTGTTGTCTAGAACAACATGGGGACTAAGAAGTGCACCATTCAGAATAATAAGACAATACAAACAAGACACAGAAAACGTAAAAAGAAAGAAACTGAAGAGGCTTTTTCAAAGATACCACTAAAGCAGTCTTCACCACTTAAAATATTCTACTTTTCATGCATCACAGGTAAACACTAGAATGACCGCATTAGTGAAATATATACCTTTCCTTTACAATAAGTTTAGCCTCATGACGGCACCAAAGATGATCTAGGTTGGAGTATACCGCTCTTATTTCCACTGCATGGTTGAGTATCTTATCAGTCACTCTCATGCAAGCAGTCACATAACTATGTTCACAAAACTTTCTACAGCATTCAACGGTTTACCGCCACGGACGAGTGCAATACGCCTTCTTCCTAATCTTGTAGAGGAACTTCGCACTTCACTGGTGGACGAAACATACTACATTTAAAGACATTACTGACCATAATTGAGTGCGATTTAGTCACAAATATATTGTAAGACAGTAAAACGACATCGTCCGCATACCCAACGTCAAAAAATCTTTCACGTGGTAGCAGGTTTAAAACACCACTCACTGTTTTCAAAACGATGCTGAAGAGAATTGGTGATATTGGTCGACCTTGCCAAACTTCAGTACCAGTTTACAGCAAGAGAGATGTGTGACTATAGGTTTTCACTCTTCCTTATGTGTTTAAGTATGGTGCTTTTGAGATGCTAACAAACTTCACAAAGATATCATTATCTAGCAGATAATTCCAGTGTACAGTCCTGTTAAACGAACCATAGGCAACCACACTAACGAGGAATTCAGCGATCCTTGGCCAGAAATCCATGTAAAGATGTCCAACCATATGGTGGGAGGGTGTTGAAAACGTCATTAGTACATTTTCAATATCTCCCCTTCAGATCACTTTTTCATGAGTTTTGTACAGACTAATTTGTATGATAGAAGCCATTATTTTGGATACTTCTGACAGCAAACTGCTATACCGATGATTACCAAATACATTACGTAGACCTTTCTTAAAGAAGGCTACAACAAACGATGCTTTCAAGGGTTATTATGGAGCTTCAATGTGCCATGTCTTTCCAAACGATATAGTCTATTTAGTGACCGCAGTTTCCCTTCCATGCATAATGAAGCAATAATTTGGCTGCCTTGGTCAGATATGTCATGGTGCCTTACGACTTGGAGTCCCTGATGAAACTCCGCATCGTTTGGTTAGTTTATGTAACTGATCCTGAAAAATAAAACGTTTAGGTTAATGTTGCTGTAGCAGTAGAGTATCTGACGGAGGTTTTGAGGAATACTAGATTCACTAAAGTACTAGATGTCCTGATTAATATGTTTCGACTCAAAATTACTGAGAATAAATAACATTATATTGCAACACAAAACCGTTTTATGGTAAGAATACGTAGAGAAATTACTGACTGTGTATTATCACAGAATCAGTCTCATTTAAAGTTTTTATGTATTTGCTTTAGATGTCTGTCTAACAGATTGCTTTCCATATATTTCGACTTTCTGATGCATAGGCATATTTACTAAAGTCCTTTTCTTGATCATATGAGTGATGACTAACTAACAAAGCAGACATCATACATTGAGGAAAGTTCTTTCTTTTGCAAAATGGTGAATCACTGTAGCGTAATGGTTAGGGTTATGTGAAACGCGTTATTCAAAGGAATTTATTTAAATTTTTGACGCATGTATGCTTTAGTTTTTATAGGGTTTTATTATACAAGTATTGTTATTTACATCTAAATATGTCCTATAGAGAGGTAAGAAGCTTTTAAGTAACCCGATTACTAAATTCGATTCATGAGTAGTTTTATTTTAAGTTTACACGATGAATTAAATTTAGAGATGAAAGTGTATGTTACTATTGTTTGGTGGAAGTCGAAGCGGAGTTACATGAATGATGTCCTCCCGTTAAGCTTACACACTACTTCTAGGACAGTAGTTCTGATGTACTTGAAATTAAAAAGAACAATGTTATATTGGCATCCTAATTTTAGTAGGATACTCAAGCCTTTGGCTTCAAAATAATACTGTGGTGCATGATAGAATAAATGATCGAATAAAATTCGTAAATTTCATATAATTAATCGTGCTACTTGTTAGTAGCCAAAATGAGAATGATAGAAGTGGAATTTGTTTACTAACACTTACGTTTCACTGGTAAAAAATATTTCTGATATATTTGAGAACAAGTGACGTTTCTGTATGGCAGTTATAACAGACGATTTTGATTCTGGCTGCATACACTGGGCTTTATAGAACTTTTCCATTAAAATGTGTAGAGTACGATAGTAAGATGCTTCTGAGGTTATAACTTCAAATAATGCCTGGAAGAGAGATACAGTTACATGAATAATACGAATTAGGGGATCAGCTGGAGAACTTTTGTATCTTAGTGGTAGACAATTTACTATCGTGATTAGGAAATCACTATAAAATGATAGGAACACTGTTTACGAACCTCAGAAGCAACTAGGTGACTTTGCGAATATGACGAAGGTAAATAGGAATTGCAAACCAGTTAGTAAACGTCAACGAGATGTCTTTCAGTTTTCGATGCAATAAAAACGGCAATTCGATTAAGTTATTGAGAAAGAATGCACTGGCAGGTGCTGGAGGTCAGATACTTCTTTACTGCATAGTAATTTGCTTACCCACAGTATACTATGGAATCAAGTAAACATCTGACTAATTTGAAGAGGTAGTGTTGAATATCATCTACGATTGTGCAGTACTTAACAGAACATATCAAACTGGCACCTATAAAGCTATTAAAAAGTGCTTGAATCTTGAGATCACAAAAAACTGCAATAGGCCACTACAGAGTTTTGACCAACCTCTTGTATTATGAGTTATTCAGTTCTCATTTTTATGAATTACTTGTCTTCGAATATTTTGTTCAACTATAATTTCTTTTTGATTGGCCGTGAAGGGGAAGTGCGTTGTGCAAAAGTGTTCTTTCGTTCATGACCCATGGATTGACCACTTCAAATTCATAGACAATGTGTAAAGGGCAATCACAGGTATTCATCAAGAAGTTTCCATATTTAGTTGTTGTAAGCTGTCACTAATAGTCCTTTTAAGTTTGTGGCAATGATTTTTGAAATTGGACAACGGGAAACTTCGCTTCACTGAAGACTTACTTGAAGAAAGTTTGTCAGAATAAACTTCTGCTACATCCGAATCATATATAGTTAGAAGCACTAAAGAAATTTTAGGGTTTTGTATTTTGAGGTTGAAATGATTTGATGAAACGGCATCGGCGACTTAGTAAGAAAAAAATTATCTTATCGTCCGAAATCAGAAGTAAGATCAGCTATGAGGGTAAGACAATGGATTAATAAACATAAATAAGGAGCACTTTATAGTATTGACAGTTATTAAAATAATCAACTAGGTGAGTAACAAAACTAAAAAACTTAATAACTACTCAATTGTTCGCAACTTACTTCTTGCAACTTTCTTTGATAATCAGGAAGGTCTTTAGCTAGGCTTGCACTAACCACCTGAGGCATTGCACACCACTGTACCCGATTTGGCCCAGTACCAGCGACTTCATTCACAAAACTACGAACCTCATGAGTTTGTCTTCTTGGCTTAGGAAGGGATCTCCGACTTCCATTTTTTTCACTACCAGATGAATTGGAATGACTACGTTTATACGATGATGCTTTCATTGCGTCAGTATTTCTTGAACCTGTTCGAGAACTGGAACTATCCGGTGAATGAACTGCAGGATTTTTTTGTTCAGAGTTACTCATATGAACTGATGGTTGTGGACTGTTTGCTCCCTTACTTGATATTTTCGATGAATACTGATTATTTAACTCCGACTCATCACCATCTATTGCAGCGAATAATTCATCATCAAATTTTAAATTATTTGATGGGTTTTGCAAGGAACCAGGTTGTACGACAGCTAATGGTTTAATGATAGTCAAACAAAAGCGCTTCGTTAGCTTTCAATGTATCTTACCTGACGTAAAGTTGACTGAAACAAATTTTATTAACTTATGCTGGATTTAATTTTTTAACTGATCCAGATAGTTAATCACATCGAAAATACTTAGTTTGTCACTTAGAATTCATCTTGATTCCTTAATTTAAAAAGGTATGATTTACCAGCTGTTAACTGATTAATATGGAAATGTTTTCGTTCAGTGTATTTAGGTGCAAATGTAAAATGGTTGTAATGTTTTCTCAACCGGTTCGTTCTTCTAGTAAAAGATCGAAATGTATCATTTCTTATTTCAAGTATGAACCAAAATCCTCACCCAAACAAGTGCACTTAAATTCATACAAGAAACACATATTTTATTATATTCAAATGAGATTCAAAAACTTAGACAAACCAATAAATGTAGAGTCGAACCACAGATAATTACCATTGCACATGCGTAACTATGGGAACTGTGTGGTATTTTTGTCATAACGATTCGTTCATACTTGAAACGTCTATTTGACTTATAAGTGGTAACTTTGTGAGACATACACACTTATTGAGCACAAAGTGGTTACACTTAAGAAAACTAGTACAATTAGACAATAAAATGGATAGGTGAAAAGACATTCAAACATTCAATTCAAGAGTATTATGGTAAAAACTCAGTATGATATTTTTGGATACTGACATACGCATATGTTATGTTAATCAAGGGTTTTCCTATCATTTCTGAAGAATGTTTCTACATTTGAACACAAGAAATATAAGTTATTGAGGACAGAACAAACTATAACTCCAGTGCCACTTACCTTTTATGAGCATTAGTGACAATGCCAACTACCATTTAAAACAAATTTTTCTGAGCATAAATATTTTTCTTTATTCTTGCATAAGAAGTTGGTTCTTTATTTACATTTGAAAAACGTTTTATACACTACAGCAAGTTTCAGGGAAAATAAAAATAAAGGCATCAATAAATCATCGACTGTTTTCAAGACGTATAGCTTTTCTCACTGAGAGATGTTAAAACTGAGTTTTGGGAATTTCTTATTCTACATTTAGGACTTAACGTAAAACGCGCAATTACACTATTTAGAAGTGAGGAGGATAATATAAACTGACTGCTAAACAAATGAAAACATTTTATAAATGACGAATATAAGTAGTAAAGCGACTAAAAACCTTGGTTTTTGAAATAACTAATAAAGCTTATAAATAATTTCCAGTAACCACAGACAAGGCTTGCAGTGTCAGTCTACCATTTATTAATTGCTCATTGAGGCAAAAGAAACTCGGTGATAGAAAGCATCGGGCAGTATTTGAATGAGAATGAACTAAATGAGAATGAGTGCTCACTAGCTTGACAGATAACTGTATATTTTTTACTTGACATATGTGCAAACGACGAGGTTCATTTCCAATTAACATCCATCTTGAAAATTACATGATACTTGGGGTTCTATCAATATGTAGGCTGTTTGAAAACTCATGCATTAATACTGATTAGGCACTTCTTTGTCTGCATCCGTTCTAGCCATCTGGTTTTCATCTAGCCATTTCATTGTGATATGGCCTCCTAAGAGAGCTTTTTCTTAAAACATTTCATATTCATATTAAGGAAAGGGATGGTCAACAAGTTTGTTTCAGGAATTCATTTAGTGGTCTGATCTCACCCCCTATTTCAAGCATCTTCAGTATAGCTGCTGCATAAAATAAATTCCTTTGGTTAAAATGAAATATTTATTACGCCCCAAAGATAGTGAACCACAACCTCTGAACAACTGGTTACAACAGTCAGTGACAGTGAAAAAATATTATTCAACTGAAGAGGAACAACAATTTGGCTATAGTATAGCAAAATATCAAAATACTTTACTTGTTATTCAGTCAACTACTGAACCAAGAATGACTGCTAAATGTGAACCTGCTATCTGCCAAGATGAATACTACTTAACTGTCAGTGACCCAAGTTAATATCTTTATCATTCAACTGCGTAAGTTTTCAGGACCTTTTGGTTTTGTTTACTGAAAAAACAGTTAGGCTTTTCTTTGACAGTGGTATATTCCAAGTCCAATGTTTAGGTTTTCAATTCTGATTTTCCCACATACATTATATGCAGAATATTTTTATTTAGCTAAACAAATTTGCAGGAATGACAGAGACCTACCGGATATTCTATTATTTACAGTTATGCCTCTAAATAAAGTTATTGGAGATGTAAACCAAACAGAAACAAGACAACTAGTGTGTGTCACACTAGGCATGTATTAGTGAGTCACAGTAATACAAGTGTATTGACAATTCGCAACCATGAAACTAGTTCATTATTAGCTTCAGATATAAATTCACTGTTTTAAGCAAATGTTAGCAAAAACAACATTAAGGCTACAAGATTTGCTTGTTATAAATTGACTTAAAAGATAAATACAGTTTTTTACTTTTGTAGATATGATTCGCTTTCGCTGAAAAAGAATCCTATGCAGTTCGTAATTTGTATATCCAAAGGATTATATGAGTCATATAGTTTATTCTGAGAAGTAAAGAAGAAACGACCAAAATAGTTTTATTTAAAGCAAAGAAACCATTTTTTGTTTCAGGGGCACATAAAGAACGATATATTTGTAACAGGAGAACAGTAATAAGTTAGAACTACTCAGTATATCATATCAGGAAAGATAATACACGCAACAAATACAATTTATGCTAATGACTTTTATGCCAGAAAGTTATCATACGATGGTTAATATAACGATAAGGGTATTTTCTTGGTGTCAAGTAGAGACTGAGCTAAGAGTCGTCGCATTTTACTCGGGAATATGGAATATGAGCAAACAGTACCAGTCATTTAAAAACCCAATACTTCTTAAACCACTCGGAAAGAAATAATTATTAAATTAACATGAAGTTACGTTATTTATTATCAGTTTGATTATCTGAGATACTTTTGTTGATACTAGTTGATAAGTGCAGGTGAAATAAAAATGTGGGTTAGTGTAGGTTTCAATCCAGCAACCACAGTCAAACTGATGATCAATATGGTGCTTTCCCTAGCTTATTCAAGTAGATTTGGAGTGTGATGAAAATTCTTGACCGGGCAAAACCTATGGTAATTGACTCGAAATAAAAATTTGGCGAGGATTTGGGTTTGGTAGCTCAGTTGGTGGAGTACTGGGCCGGAAACCTGGTGTTCACTGGCTCCAATCTTGCAGCGGTTCAAATTTTCACTTCACCTTCAATCATTACCTCATATCAATAAGATATTAGGTTGTGCAATAAAATCAGTGTTGAATTATGCTTCTAGCTTTCATCTGCTCATATACATGAATGTTTCACCAAGTTTCGCATAAAACATCAAGAAATTTTGTACTGCGAAAGAGTAGAAAAAAAACTGGTTTTGTCATATAAATGTAATCTATTGAAACTATTTAAGAGAAACCTAATTACAATTAACGATAAAGTAACACTATTTTTTCAAATCCATTGAAGCTGACCGCTGACTAGACAATTTTTGTCAACTGGACTTCAACAACACAGTATAAGCGGTTTTGTTTCGAATAAATCCTTTCTATTTAATGTGTTTCTTACGAAATACACATGAACTGAGTAGATAAAAACAAAAGTTGACATACCTTATAGGTTTAGTTTAGGAATATTACTTAGTGTTTTACAGAAAAAACATTTAGGCTGGTTTCCATAGATTATCAAGGCTATTTTACTGACTGAAAATACTAGAATGCATCAGAACTTTTAACTGTTCAGGAAAAGGGGAATGGCTTAAGAGGATTAGGCAAAATATGTGGATTTTCTGACATGAACAACCTTTTCCCTTCATCTCTGATAAATGCCAAATTCGGTGTAACATAACATATGGCTTAGGACACTAGCTGACTGCAAAACAACTGTTTTTTCATATTATCTACTTCACCATTTGAATAATAATAGCATTCAAAACAAGTAAGAAAATTATATTTTGATTAGCTTGTAAATTCAGACAGAATTTCTAATTAACGTGAAATTAGTCACCTAAAGTGGTTCATTTATCTTCATTTAATTTATCCTGTTAGATCGTTAGTTGGGTTTAGAAACACCCCAACATACGGATTATCGAAATATTTAGCATCAATATTAGAAACTGTTTAAACTCCAGACCAACTAATTAATGTGAAATGAAGCAAAGGTTAGATAATATTCAGATAGTAGAGGATGTAAACATTATTAGTTTTGACACTACGAGCTTATATACTATTGTGCCAATCTGCATTGCTCTATAAACTGTCAAAAAGGAATTTCACAATGAATCTGAACTCATTCGCAGAATTTGGGAACGAAGTGATAACATATTACAAGTTCACCTATGTATCGTCTCTTAAGTTTTTCAATTTCAAAGTCAGTTATTTAAACCAACAGTAAAAATAGCAGTGAGATCAGCAATATCCTCAGTTGCAGAACATACTTCTATGGATATTTGAGGAAGTGTGGCTCTTGGAACAAATGATCCTAACTAGAAAGTATGATGAAGATATGTGGATGGCACATTTAAAATGTTGTAATCCAAATATATCCTTAGCTTCTTCGAAAAAACAGAATTGGTGGTAGATGGGATGCAATATACTTCTCAGTTAGAAGACGAACAGGAAGAAATAGCTTTAGCAGACAGCAAAAATCTAAGACAAAGTGGTGGTTTAGATAAGTATCCTTAGAAAACCATCACATTTTAGTAGCTGTCTAGGTAGGTTACACCAAGTGTTTCAGTAACCAAACTGGCGGTCTGTTCAGTTGGTCAAAAAGTTAGGGGAAAAAATAAAATGCTTAAAAGGAGTTTCATTTTTGAATAATAATTCCCCAAAATTTATTCGGAAACACATATGGAAGCATATGAGAAGGATGTGAGCCATGATTGAAGCACGACTAAGTACGAATTCAAGGCCTCTGTAGTGTTGCGACGTAAGGAATGGATATCAGAATGCCTACGTAA